AGCTAGACTGCTTCTGTGGGGAAACAAGTCCCCGAGCCTGGTGCAATAGGCGAGGGTGACCATGGGCCACGCTGCTCCTCAACTTCCTTGTCACTATCTCAGGGAGAAATTCTGCTTTAAAGGACCCTGTTGACTCCCTCTGCTCAGGGCGTATCAGCCCCTATGGCATAGGGCAGGTAGTGAGATGCAAGAATATGGTAGACGGTTGAACCAAATCTCTCACAAGCACCCTTGTCCTCATCCTCTGCGACTAACTCTGTGTATGTGTGTGTGTGTGTGTGTGTGTGTGTGTGTGTGAGAGAGAGAGAGAGAGAGAGAAACACCCACAGTATCCCAGTGCAGTTTCTTGAGCAAAGTGGTAATGGCTAATATAAAAGACGTACTTTAGCTCAGGAGTGATGCATTTTTACAATAGCTACTAGTAGTAAGATAAAGGCACAACTCATGTGTATAGTGACATGTGTCATCCCTGTGCTAAGAGTTTTCCATGTATCAACTCACTTAATCTTACAACCACCTGAATCAGGATCTTATTATCCCCATTCTGCGGGGGAAGGAAAACAAAGTTCCAGAAGGTTCCACCACTCATCCACAGTCACACAATCAGCAAATGGCTGAGCCAGGTTACCCTAAGCTTAGTTGTATGGCCCCAGGGTCCCAGCCACTGTAGATATTTGGGATGACAACCCCCCCTTCACTTGTCCACAGAACTGCTCATCACAGAAGAAGGTTTCCCCAAAGAAGAAGGCTCAAGTCTGGTCTTGGGGTTCCAACTCCTATTCTCTCCTTCCCTCTCAATGTCCTGAGCTTGAGGCCTCCTCTTAAAGGCCAAGCCCCAAGCCTGCTGCCCACTAGGGGATGGCAAACTCATTCTGGAATGGGAGCCTAGCCACAGAAAGGCTCAGCTCCCCCACTCAGGAACAGGAGCAAGGGCCTCATTAAGTCCAAAGGGCTGAAGAAAGAAGGAAAGTCAGCTCCTTCTCCCTCCGTGGTGCCATCATTTTGTTTGTTTTACCCAGAACCTTCCTGGAGGCACCATGTGCTTGTACCTGGGGGTGTCTGGAACCAGCCTGAACATCCCCCTCAAACCTAGAGACTGTGGAACCTAAACGCTGGACAACTCAAACCTGAACAAAATGTAGACACACACACACACGTACACACACCATGAGATCATACTGATGGGCCTGGAAAATTCTACTTGCCCACAATACAGCCCCTAAATTAGGTTTCTCCAGGGAATGACCCTGAGTAGATGGGATCTCCAACCCTGGATTGTTCTGAGCACAGGAAAACTGCCTAAGTCAAGTTGGCTCATCCCCAGGACCAGCTAGCACTACACCTCCTCTGGCAACCCATCCTGAGTCACTACTGGGAGAGTCGATCCCTTCTCAGTGTAGTCACCAACACAGTTGTCCCTTGACAGGTCTCTGCCACACCCAGTTCTGGGCCCTCCTGGAGGGCTGGCACAGCTCCTAGACGGCAGCATCCTCTGGAAAAGGTCTGTTCATGGAAAGAGGTATATATACATGCAAGCATAAGGGAGCACACCAACAGGAACACAGCCCTACTGCCCCACAGTGGGGTCTCCTCCTGGCCACAGTGGTCCCTCAACCAGTTGCCATGGCACAGTCACAGCAATCACCTGTCCATATCCGTCACAACATGATCTGAAAAGGACATGACCTCAGAGGAGGCTTGGCACCTCTCATTACTCAGAGGTGTAGCTTAAAGACTAAAGGGCCTTCTACTGCTCAGTTCATTTCAAAAAAGCTGACCCACAAGATGACTGCCATGAAACTCTAACCACAATCCTGCACCCAGAAAGTGATAGTCTTGGCCTTCCATTTGGAACAAACTTGAGTTCTCACCAGAGTGTGGGTGAGGAACTTGGAGGTTATCATCCCCAGGGTCTCATTGACTCCCTGCCCCAGGATGGTATGGGCAGAGGCCTCACTCCAGCCAGGGGAAAGGTAGCCAAAGTCTTCCCTGCTCAGGGTCCTGTGCCTCTTTTTGAGTTGGAACCGAGGACAGCCTGAGTCTAGGACTCAATGGTCACATTATGAATTTACCACCTACCGCTTCCACAAAGAATATATGGTGGCTATGGTCAGAGAAGCGCAGTTGAAGCTGCCATCCCTCCTACTGGCCTGACTGGGTAAGGGGCTTCCACGCAGCTGTGGAATGTGCTGGAACTTGAATCTCCTGGTGGCTGGCTCCTGTCTACCCCTCCCTGCTCCCTGCACTCATGGCTCTGCCTGCTACAGCCCCTTGCAGGAATGGGGAGCAGGCCTGGTCCTCACAAGATGGTGCAGCCAAAGGCAGCCAGGCCAGCCAGCCTGCATGCGAGGGACACCTGCACCCACTCCACAGGGCAGGGTGTCGGCACAGGGCACGCAAGGCTCAGGTGGGAGGAGCGGGAGGCCAGCCAGTGTCTACAGGAGGGTAGAAACTACAGAAGCAGCCAAAATCAAGAGTGGAGGGCAGAAGGGACTCAGCCAAGGGACAGGGGTGGGCAAAGCAATAAAAATATAAGACAATATCCCAAGGAAATACAAATAAAGAAGAAGATGGGAGAAACAAGAGGAAAAGGTGAGCAAACTTATGAGAAATTCAAAAAGCTGGAAATTAACTTTTCAGGATTGTGAGGGGCAGGGTTGTGAGGGGTGATCAGGAAAGGAGGAGGGAAGGAAAGAGGCTGAAATGAAACCAAGGGACACAAATGATACCTAGGTATGTCCGAATCAAGAAACTGCCTGCAAAACACAAACAATCACACGGTTAGTGAGGGGGGAGGGGGCCGGACAGCGGGGCAGCGGGAGTGAGGGGCAGCACAGAGGGGAGTCGCCTGTGGCCAACAGGCCCACTCTGAGCCAGGGAGGCTGCAAAGCATAGGGCCTTGGAGCAGGAGGAAGCTGAGGCCATGGCAAAGCGCATAGGTGGCCCAAGGCCAGAATCAGAACTGGGGTCTCCTGAGCCTCAGTATCTGTGGGAGGAGAAAGGCCTAAAGCAGCCCAGCCCGTCACAGGCTCTGAGGATGTCAGCCACAATCCAGAGGAGAGAAAGGGCCACTGACTGGGTCAGCCAAGCCACAGGATGGTGCCTGCCTGGGGCCACAAGCTGAGGATGGCCCTTGAGACTTTTCTGGACTTTTCTAGGGGGTCAGGGGGCTACTAGCATGGACAGGAGCCAAGCAAGGGGTCAAAGCAGCTATGGTCATGGCCTACATTTCACCCTATGAACGTGCCTTTCTGTGTTCTTAGACCCAAGGCCTTGACCCCAGCACAGACTTGGTCAACCCCAGAGAAGCCCCGCAACAGGTCTCACATCTCATAGTCCCTAGGGTACAGGGTGGAAGCTCCTTCAGTGCTGGATTCTTGGGCCTCCAGTAACAGGGTGAATGGGTTTAGCCAAAGCCCCATCAGCCTGAGGTCTAGCCATATACCACCACCTCCTGAATCACCTTAGTCCCACAGCAGCCAGGTGGGCCTGGGGAAAGAGAGAACCCCCAAAACAGCCCTCAGTGTAGGGAGACAGCAAGAGAAGGGAGGCCTAGAGTGGGAGGCCCCACCTTCTCGCAGCCTCACTACTCCCTTTCTGCCCCAAGAATCCGGGAGCTGCATAGTCTAAGGAAGCGTCGGAGGTCAAGGGGGATGAGGTCATCTCCCAGATTCCAAAGCATCACTCACATGGCAGACAGGCCCTCCTGGCCCCCACCCTTCTCCTAAGGGTCCTGGTCCCCCATGGCCAAAGCAAAACAGACTACACCCCAGCAGGGAGCATCTGTGTCGGGGTGCCAGGCCTTCTCTATGCCTCTCCAGACAGCATTCTTATAGTAACAGGAGAAGCAAGGTCCGAGAAAGTCCCCAGGCCCTGGCCCAACCCACCGTCTGCCTTATCTCCCCTTTCTCCCAGATATGCCCCCCAGCCTGCTCTCATAGTCCCCTTCCCCTGCACTCTTCATCGTCTTGTGAACATGTGTACAGGGCAAGTTTTTCCTGGGCTAAGAGTCAGAAGAAGATGACAACATCCCCAGGACCCTCCCTCCTTATGAGCCCTGAATCTCCTTGCAGGGGTGGGGTCCCCTCACCCTTTTCCAAGCACATTCAGCTCTCAAAGACGTTTTTCCTGTGAACACAGTCACCAGCGGCCTGTGGAGACATCCACAGCTCGAGTCCCAAAGGTCAGCTCTTGCCTTGTGCAGCAGGAGCCAGGTTGCACCCCTGGGGAGCAGCAGGATGGGACTCTGGAGCACCTGCCTTACTAGCTCCAAGTCCCTGAAAGGCAGCATCTCAGATGCAGTCAAGCCCATGGTACATCTCCACCTGGCAGTCCTGAGCCACCTGCCTTGGCCCACCTTGGGGGCTACCTCCCTCTCACATCCTGCCCACTCCAGCAGACCCTAGCAGAGGTGACAAGGATGCCCTTGGGGGCTTGAATGCCACTACCCAGATGTGGTCAAGCTGGGACTGCTCAGGTTGCAAAGATTATGGCACCTGAGAGCTTGGAAAGGAGCGGCCCGTGATGAGGGGCAGGGTGTGTGCCAAGCAGTGTCTACTCCAGGCTGCTGGATCCCTGACCCCAGGATGCCTGCCAGAGGCCACAGACTCACCCACAGCAGCGCAGTCCTGCTTGCTCATCCACCTCCCACCCATAAAACTCCTGAGGACAGAACTCAGTTCATCCTCTAGTCCCCATGCTGGCCTTTCTGCTGGATGACCAACAAACGGGCACGTTAATGTCTGAACCAATGATGAGAATGTACAAACCAACAAGCCCAGGGGACGCGAAGTCCGCCAGCCACCTTGCTGCACCAGCTCTTTCAGGTGTCAGAAAGGAGAGTGAGGAGGGCTGCGGAGCAGGACGTCATGTGTGGCTGGACCCCATGGCCGGATCAGCTAAGGGCCTGGCAGGTTGGGAACATGCCCTGAGTGCTGACCTGGGCCCTGTCTCCCGGGAGTTGGGAACACAATCCACTGCGATCCTTGTCAGAGACTCACCGGTCATCCTGGGCTGGGTGGATATATCCAGAAGAGAGGATGTTGAGAGACAGGATGTTGGGGTCAATCAAAGACTCGTCAGTCTCTGGAGTGTTTCGGATGCGACCTACAGAAAAGATAATAGACTGCAGGTCACTTCCCAGGAGGGCAGGTGGGACACTGGGCCCTGCTGGCAGCCTCTGGCAGGGATCCCATCAGCAAACCAGCTCCCCACATGGCCACAGGAGTGTCTGGTAAAAGGTAGTGCCAGGATGGAGAGGGAGACCTGGGGGGTCCTTGGCTATCCAGATGCCATTGCAGTTACTGCTCTACTGTCTTTCTTGTTGTAGTCCAAGTTTTGTCTGTAGTCCAAGTTCTGTCTCTTGGCCACAATTAACACCCCCCACCCCTGAAATATTCAGTTTCTAAGCCCAGAAAAGCACAGGTCTTCTCAACCATTGGAAAAAAAAGTCTAAGCAAGATGCAAGGAGGAATGCTCCAGCTACTTTTAATACTTAAAAATAATGATAAGAAGAAGAGAAAAGGGAGGAAATAAGATAAAAGAAAAGGAGAGATGAGAAGAGAAAAGAAGAAACACTATCCATGCCATAAAATCTCACCTTGCAGGGAGCATTCCAATCAGAGTCCCCTTAGACATCTACCTGCACTAGGGGTAGTATCTGCCTGTCTGTAAAACATGCCAGAACCTCTGTGAGGCAGGAATGCTGCCTGGTAGCTTCCTCTAATAATGTATTGGCCGGGTAGTGACAATTCTGCTCATTCAAAAGAGTAAACAAATATGTGTACATTTGTTGAATAATGACTGGATCTTCGTTCTCCTCCACCATGAATGGAGACAAATCAGAATCCAGGACACAGTCAGGATTTTGTGTGGTGGGTGTACATGGAGCCTCCCCCACCCCTTTCCTAGAACTGCGACACGTGACCCTGTAACACTTAGGTTCTGAGAGGAGGCAGGTGGGATTGCAGCAAAACATCCTTCTCCACACGAGGGCCCTCCAGGTCCACACTGAGACAGTGCCCACAGCAGGAGAGGGGCTCAACCGTAGAGAGAGCTGCCTAGATCAGAGTCGTCTTCAGGAGGCCAGTACCCACTGAGTCTGACCAGGTGCCCAGCCTGTAGAACTGATACCCATGAGCCTCTGGTCAGGAGAGAGAGCAGCAGGGGCTATGCTGGGGTCCTGTTCCTCTGTCATTCATACTTCCACCCCTTCCTCAGCCTCAAAGGGCCCACTCACCCAGAGCTCACGGTCACCCAGGCACTCTCCTTGACCCTTATCCCTTTTGCTGACCCCTTGTCTGCAGCACCATCCATCTCACAGGGCCTGAAAGTCCCATGACCATCTGGGAAGGGACCCAGAGCTCAAAGGAAGGCTGTAAATAGTGACTTTGGGGTCCAAGGGGGAGCAGAAGAGAGGCCAGGTGCTCCAAATAAAGTGACTCAAGGGGCCCAAGCGAAGAAGGACCCAAATCCAGAGGACACCGCCTCTCTGCTGTGTACACCCACCTTCCCACCCATTGCGGTTGAGAAAGTGAGAGCAGGTGGTCAGCAGGAGGGGGCGGTGCTATCTGGTCCATAGATCAGCTATGTATTTGCCTAAACTTTGCCATTAAATGAATTCACTCCCTTCAGGCTTGCCCCAAACAACATGTGAAGGGTGAGTTTGTGTTCTCATGCCATCACTTTTTATGATTCATATGAAATTGGACACAAAACTTATAAAATAAAAGCATTTGCCCTGGTGTGCCCAGATCCTCCTACCTACAGTCCTGCATGAACAGTCACCTCATCCAGCTACCAAAATGCCCAGGGCAGGACAGTGCTTTCCAGGTCAGTGTGGGACTGGAGGTGGCCTCATACTGATGACATACTCAACTGTCTGTGTCCTTGAATGAAAATCAGGCAGATAAATTCTTTATAGCTTAGCCAAGAAAACATTTGGTAGACCAAAGAGTTCAAGACGTGGTATTATGGAAGAAAAAGTCTAAGATCCTTGGTGACAGTTATGAGTTGAACTGTGCCCTCTGCAACAAATTCACCAAAATCCCAATCAGGTGTTCCCCAGAAAGTGACTCAGCTGGTCTGTGCATTGATTCCAGTCACAGGTTGGCTTGGCCATGAAGTCCAGTGAGACTTCAGAATGTCACCTTTTTGGAAGTAGAGCATTACAGAGGTGCTCAAGCTGAGTGAAGATGTGGTCACATTGGAGCAAGATGGGCCCCTAATCAAATATGCCTGGTGTCCTTATGAAAGGACATGAAAGACAGTGATGCCAAGACAGAGGCACAGGGCGAAGCTGTGCGAAAATGGAGGGGTGTGTCTACAGGCCAGGAATGCCAAAGCTTTCTGGACACCACCAGATCCTTCCTACAAGGAAGGATTTCCCCCTACAAGTTTCAGAGAGAGCATGCCTTATGCCAACACCTTGATTTTGGATTTTCTGGCCTCCAGAACTGAGATGATACATTTCTGTTGTTTAAAGCTTCCCAGTTTGTGGTATTTTGTTACGGTAGCCCTATAACTCTAATACAATGATTAAATAGAAGTTTGGGAATCATCGCCCAGGCCCAAGACTCTCCTTTTCAGATGAGGGACTGAGACACAGAGAATTTGTATGACTTAGCCTGACGCACACAGACAGAGGCAGAGCTATGGTTGGACCCTGGACTTCTGGCCCAAGGCCCACGCTCTTCCCACCAGCCCAGTTCTAGCCCCCGAGGCAACCCCCACCTGCCTTACTCACCCACGACCAGCTCGCGCACTTCCTTCCAGCGGATATGGCTGCCAGTCTCGTGTAGCAGCGTCACGGTTATCCGTCTCTGGATGCCCTGCCAATGCCAAGAGAGAGAATATGGTGAGACCACTGGGGGAGGGGCATGCAGAGAGAGGAAGGGTGAAACGGGTGGGGCAGCGGCAGAGAAAGCTTCAAACCTGGTGGAGAAGGAAGGTCCCCATGCATGGCATGCCCCCACGGTGGTCCACCACGGCAGGGATGTAACTGGAAGAGAGACACACATGAGGTGCTGGCTGCCCTACTTCCTATGCATATGCAGCATAGGCCCCTGGTGCCCAGAGTGAACAGGATTAAAAACAAGAAAAAATCAGCCACTCCTGGTAAGGGTCTGGTGGCTGGGTCCATGGAGACCAGGGTCAGCTGGGTACAGAAACACACCCCGTCCTGCCCATTGCCAGGAGGGTGAACAAGGAGATGCAGCAAGGCCTGGGTCCACTGAGCTGGATCTTTGCAGCAGCTCCAAGAGTCTCCCTGCTCCCTGCACAGCCTCTGCTCCCTCTTTTCATCCACTTCTTTCCACTGCCCTTTCCTCGGAGATCAATCACAGAGGCTCCTTCTTTATCCAGTCCCACCTGAGCAGATCTGCAACCCATGGCCAGAGGAAGTCCCAGCACAGGGGCCCCTTCTGCTCCAGCCCCTAAGGCTCCTGTCCCACAGGGCAAGGACCAGTATCTGCACCAGGTCCCATTCTGAGCTCCTGGCCTAGCTGTTCTAGCCCCTCAATAACTCTAGCCCAGCCACAGCCCAGCTCTCAGCTGCTCCCAAGGACACCAGGCAAGTCCCACCAGCCTCCACAGTGGTGCCCTGGAACACCTTCTCCAGGCTGCAGGGCTGCCTCCCACCTCCCTCAGCCTTTGCTCAAATGTCCCTTGATCACTTTGTAAACATCACATCTGCTGCCCCACCCTGTGACCCCCAGACCCACACCCTTGGTTTGTTGCCTAGTGCTCAGCACCAAGAGGTCCTTGTCTGTTAGCCCCCATCCACGTCAGCTCCTCCAAGCTAGATGAGGCCGGGCCCACAGGAGGTGTTCAATAAACACCTGCTGAAAAAACAATTCTGGGTGCTGGCAACCCATGGAGCAACTCAGTGCCTCGTCCCTCTCCTCCCCCCCACCCCTGGGTACCCCAGCCCAGGCCCAGGGCCTTCTCCCCATCCCTACATCTTCTAGGGACCCCAGTACCAGCACTCACTCGCCATTGGCCTCCAGTTCACAGATCTCGAAGTAAACCAGCAGGTCATATTTGCAGTGGCAGGGCCCTGGGCAGGGCCGTGTCAGCGTGCTGAGCTTGGTGGCCGGCACTGGGGGGATAGGAGAAGCATGTGTTGATGGGGTAACTGACCCATCACATGCTGAGGGCACACTCAGGGATTAGGGAGAAGGGTGGAGATCAAAGGCAGTGAGGATACCACCTTCCTCCCCAAGAGAAACAACCAGCCAACCCTACTCCTGCCCAGGATACCCCCAGACCTGGCACAGTCAGTCCTCAGCAACTGTGCATAGACTTTCACATTCCCCATGTCCCAAGAAGTACATTGCTATGCACACCTGGGCATAACCTTGAAGAGGGCCATGCCCAAAAACCAGCAGGGCAGCAGACACCTTTGCTCAAAGGCCCCACAACCTCTACAGGGCCCTCTGCCATGCTGCTGGGCTCTGGACCTGTACACTTTGACCACAGCCTGCTGCACTAGTCAGCACATCTTGCCAGCACCCATGCCTGACCCAGTAGGCCCTGCCCCTCAGTTCCCACTGGCCTTCCACTCATGACCAGCTCCTCACAAACAGCCTCTGCCTCCTCTGCTTGCCTACCTTTCTCCATTGCCCCTAACTCTGAGACTTATCACAGAGGTTCCTTCTCTATATGCCTACGCCTCCATTGCTTATCCTATAAATGTGGATCTAAATGTTTCCCTCACAGGCTACAGGAAGACTGCATAACACACATGCTGCAAACCACAAAGTCCATACAGGCACAAGGGACTGAGTCTGCAGCAACTGGAGGGTGTCCTCCTCAGCCTACAAAACTTCATCCTATGGGGGTTCCAAGGGCAGGGCCTAACTCTGCTCCTCCTTATAGGGAGGGTACAAGAGGTCTGCCTGAGACAGTCACTTAGGCACCACATGCGCAGACCCAGCGCCATTCACCCTACCGTCCACCAACTGTAGATGTGGCTTCTCACACAGGCCCCTAACCTCCAGAGCGCTGATGCCAGGGACCACAGAAACCTCCACAAGGTAGGTTCCTGGGCTGTGCAAGGCCCTGGCTTCACTGCCTAGCCTCAACTCTCACCCTCTCTGACCCTCTTTTGACCATGTCCCTGGGTTATGGTCTTGCAGAGAATAAATGCTACAACCTCCTTTAACCAAAATCCCACTGATCCCAAGAGCTATCCCACTGCCCATTGTTTCTAGAGGCAGAGAGCTTCCTCAGGGTTCCAGGTAAGGGTTCTGGCTGCCAAACATTCTTCCCTCAACAGATCCCACCCACTTGCTCTCACCTCTAGCCTTGGCTACACACAAAGGAGCTTTCTGGATCTTCTTTCATTCCCAAATCCCCTCTACCTCTCAACGTCTAACTGAGAGGACCTACAGTCCCCTCAAAGCTCCCAGCCTCTCGTTGCCTTCATTCCTCAGCACCCATACCTCCGCCACCACCACCGCCTTCAGGCAACCTCATGTGGGGCAGGCCCTCGCTCCATGGGGACCCTTTGAGACCTGACAGGCACAAGAGTACCTGGGAGAGCACAGCACACCCAGAGGAAGGCCTGTCCAACACCAGCACCCACAGTGTGGGCACCTCACTACCCTGAGGGATTACAGAGAGCGCCCCCTACCTGGCTTGGACAGCGGCATGACCCGAGGGAAGTGGCGGCGTGAGGGCCTCAGGGGGCTGTTGAGAAAGAAGGCCAGCATGAGGACCCTGAACTGCGGTGGGCAACCTGGTCCGGGGCTGGCAGAGAGAGACAGTGGGACCTGTCCCTGGGCCCTCCCATCTTCTCTCCCACCAGGTCCTCCAACAGCTTGGATGTGAGGGGAGAGGTATGACCCTCAGGACTCCAGATCCTACCCCACAGGCCCCACAAAGCCATGGGAAATGAAAGCAAGTTCTGGGTCAAGCTCTGGTCCCTAGTCCAGAGCCTCCCTCAGCACTCCCAAGGACAGATGAGGCTCCAGGGGCCAAACGCCTCCAAAACAAAGCTACTTGGTGCCCTTCTTTTTCCTGGATAGCTGGAGGTTCCCTGAGCTCTGAGTCGTATTCAGCAGCTGAGATATGAAGGTGGAAAGAGAAGGACCCCACCCCCAGGCTACCTATAGTTATTGGTATGGCCCAGAACAGACTCCTGGTCCCACCCTTGAGGGTCCAGGGTGAGATGGCCTGGGTGGAAATTCTGACTTCACACCACATTCAGGAGGCTGAATGGAATAAGGGAGCCAACAGAGGTTCCCCAGAGTGGTGGCACAGCTGGGGCCCTTCCATGGAGTCCTTAGTGGGCAGCAGAAGCTGTCTCCCCTGGGGCCACCTGGCTGTCATCCAGCCAGCATCCTGTGGACACTGCCCAGGTCAGCTGGGGAGGTGAAGGTTCTGAGAGTGATACCCTTTAATGAACCCCCTCCTCAGTCCTAAGGGGAAGAAGTCGGGTACAGGCCTAGAGTACTGAATCACTCTCAGAGTCCTGACGACCTTGGGCAAAAGGCCTCCTGGATGGACAGGGGAGTGTCGGGTGGCACCTGGACCCCATAGTTTTGAGACTGCTGGGTAAAAAAATCTGAGCAAGTACTTTGAGGATGGCTCCAGACTCTATACTCCAGGGTGCTAACCTGAGCACATCTTTGCAGAGGGGTGGGAATGGGTGCTGCTGGTAGTGGCCGAAGACCTCGAACACGATGGGCTGGCTCTTGATGTACTCAATGAAGGACTTGGTCACCTCCACCGCGATCTAGTGGTGGGCAGACAGGAGGGTGGGCGGCAGGGCATGGCCAGGCCGCATTCAAGGAGAGACAAATCAGTGAGACAAGCTCAGATCTGGGACCCCCAGCTGGGCCCATCCTCTGCTCACAATAGGGACAATGACCTACCCCTAGCATCTTCAGCCCAGACCCTCCTCCCCACACACCCTAGGGCAGACCCCCAGCAGGCATCCTGTGGCCTCTTCCCCAGGATGGATAAGGGCAACGCAGCTCAGCTCCTGTCCCAGAATACATAGCTGAAGAAGGTGACGAGGGCAGCAGTTGCCTCTGCAGGACAACCCCGCTTGCAATCTTGCCCACACAACAAGAGTTGTGGGTTAGATGCTGTCCACCTCCCAAATTCGTATGTTGGAGTCCTAACACCAGAGCCTCAGAATGTGACTATCTTGGGATAGGGCCTTTATCTTGGGATAGATAATCAAGTTAAAGTGAGGTCACTGAGTTGGTCCTCAACCCAATATGGCTGGTGTCCCTATGAAAGGGGAAGTCTGGACACAGGCACACACTGAGGGAGAAGCCCACATGATAGACACAAGAGAAGATGGCCATCCACAAGCCAAGGAGAGAATCCTCAGAAGGAGGTAACCCCATCAAAACCTTGATCTTGGACTTCTGGCCTCCAGAACCATGAGACAACACACTTCCATTGATTCAGGCCCCTCTAGCTCACCCAGCCTGTGGTTCTTTGTTGTGAAAACCCCAGCCAACTAACCCACCAAGTCTCCATGCCATCAGCCCTATCAAATTCATGCCCTTAGCCTGGCACTTAAGGCCTGGCTGCCTGATAGCCATCCTTATCTCTAATAAGCACCTCTCTCCCTCTGCTGCCTGTAGCCTCCTTCTCCAGCCTTGCAGAGCCGCTCTGCCCTGAAGGTCCCTATCCTCCATTGTTCTGGCAGCCCAGCTCACATCACTCTCCTGCTTGGAGCTTTCCTGGCCTCTCAGGATGTATGTGGGCATCTTATGGACCTGGTGGTCCTGACTCCTACCCTCTTCTGACACCCAGTCCAGGGCTGCCCTCATGGATGCCCTCAGCTCTCAGAGCAAATCCTGATCACCCCTGCACTGCATCCACATCCATCCTGCATCCACATCTTACTAGGCTCACAGTGGGCTTTTATCTGGCCCCACTCCCCAGTTTTAAACTCATCAAGGGACCTCCACTGCCTAGCAATCACCTCCACCCCCGGCCTGTCATTGGAGGTTCTGTGTTCTTATGCCTGGGGCTGCACTCAACCTATGGCTGGTGCTCAGAAGGTAAGGAGCCATGACACTTCAGAGAAGCCCAGGGAGGGAAGTTAGTCAGGAGACTAAGGAGAAGGAAACGAGGACATACGTTCTGGACATGGTAGAAACCAAGTGGAGGGCCTCTGCCTGTGTTCTTCAGGGGCTCCGTGGAGAAGGCCTCATCATGGCGGTGGATGAAGCTGCAAAGCAGGAGAAGATGCTTGGTCGGAGGTGGAGGACTAACAAAAGGGACCCACAGCCTCACTGAGAGGAACCGGCTGTGCATGGGGGAACTGGGGCATGCAGGACCTCTAGCTGGGCTGACGTGCCCCAACCCAGCCAGTGCCCTGCTAAGATCCCAGGTAGGAAAGCCTCAGGCAAAGAACACCCATGCAGCCTGGGCCCACAAAGGCAGCAGAGCTCACTTGAACTGGCAGAAGATGTCTGCATATTCGGCAGAGATGCTGGACGCCTGCAGGACCGTCACGCGGAAGGTGAAGGTGCTGCCCAGGCGGAGGTGGTCCAGAGCAGCATCCAGGGGTCCATCCAGTGTGGTTTTCTCAGGGCTGTCTAGGAGAAGGCCCTCCGGAGTTACTGCTGCTAGAGACCAAGGAGAGAGTGATGGGACCTCTAGGCCACACTCTGTTCAAGCCATAGGGCCTAGGGCCAGGGCCAGCCTCAGAAGTCTGTGCCTCAATGCTCCCCATGCCAGGGCAGCCGAGCCGGCAACTCACCTGAGCAGGTGTTGTTGTTGACTTCATCAGCTGAGGGCCCTGCATCCGCACCCTGGCCCTGGCCCTCCACAATGCGAAGCTCTTCTTGGGAGGTGCCCGAGCGGGACATCCCCACCACAGGGCAGGACTCGGACTGGAACTGTTCAGGGTAACTAGAGTCACAGATAGCCAGGAAACAGAGAGCCATCCCCAGTGGGGAACCACAGCCCCCATATCAAGGCCTCACTTCCCTAGCCTCAGTTTCCCCTGCTGTGACTGTACCTCTTTTACTCTACAGTCTATGGGTATCCGCAGTATGATCCATCTTGGAAACAACTTACAACTTCCATGAGGCACAGCAGGGGGTAGGGGGGGATGGTCTCTGGTCTTCAGTTCTGCTCATCCCCCACCTGGCAGGGCTCCCTCTCCCATAAGGCAAACTGTTTCTTACTGGGGATCCTCTATACTGACAACCCCTCCAAGAGAGGGAAGGTGTTGGCAGACACACTACCCTCAACTCAGGTATTACTCACTGAGGTTCCGGATTTGGGGTGGCCAAGCGGGTGTGAGTTAGAAGTAAGTCTAAGAAGAGGAGAGGAAGGAGCCACCTGAGCCTAACCCAGGGGATGCCATGTGAGACCCTCCTCCTCCACTCTCTCTCCTAAGAGCAAAAAGGGAGTCCTGGGTATGGTCCAGGTGCCTCTGGACATAACACTATCCTTTGGCAGGATGCCTGGAGGTGGGCAGCCTCAGGGGCTGCCCTTTCTCAAGGGGATGAGGGGTTAAGTGGGGGGAGATATGTAGATAGTGGTAGAAACACACTGTGCTGTGGGGACCCAGAGGAAAGCCAGTCTGGGTGGGGATAGACACATCTATCTCAATGTCCTGGAAGCTCATGTTACATACCTGCCCCTGCTTGAACAAGACCCAGGAGAGGCTGAGGTGGGAGATGGGTAAATCCAGCAGGTCAGGGCAAACCAGGGATAAGGGGCATGATGTATTTTAAACATCAAAGGATTGAGCAGGCTCCGAGAGTAAACAACTTCAGGGGGGCCCGAGGCCCTTGGGTCAGGATGGGGACATCAGGGGAGCAAAGCATACAGGACCCCAGTGAGTGGCTTTAAGGTCCAGTGTTTGGGTAGGAACTCGGTACCTTTTCAAAATGCTGGTCATCAAAGGAGATTTTGGCAGTTCCTGACTGGCGAACACCAGAGCCATAATCAGGGGCCTCTTCATCAGCTGCACGAGGAACCAAGCAAATGATTGGGGTCCAGCTCATCCACCAAGGTGGATGTGGGCAGAGCCAGACTGATCCACCCAGTGGTCCAGGTCAGAACTCAAGAACCAGAATGTGTGGCTGGGCTCTGATCTTCACTACAGACAGTCAACAGTGCTACCCAAGGCTCAGTGACAACCAGGGCACATTTGGCACATTGACAACCAACCTATGCTGCCCAGGAGTCCAAATGTGGTCATGGTCTCATTACAGGCCACTCTGATGGAGGCCACAAACTCTGCACAAACTCAAAACCAACCCCCTGCCCCCACCCCAGATGCTCAAGCAGTATCCAGGCAGCCCTTTCCTTCATCTGGCTGTACAGAGTCCCTCTCCCCACCCCTGGGCCCTGCTAGTGCCACCTCCAGAATCGTGACCTCTCCTCTGTTACCACCTGTGTAGAGCCACCACTGTCACCTGTCTGGATACTCAAGGGCCCCAACCACCCACCACTCCCCAGACCTGCCCTCTACATGCGCCCACACTGAGAGTCTTCAAAGTTCTCAGTGTACCTGCTGCCCAAGGCCCTGTAACTCTGTCCTGCCATGGCCCATGCTAACCAGTCTCCCCACAGCGGGGACAGTGAGGACAGAGCAGTTAGCTGACCTTAGCCCATGTCATGGGCCAGGCAGATGTGACTTTTGTGACCATCAATGCAAGGATCAGTGCTTTTTCTAAGTCCTCTTCACCGCAATGATTACTACACAGGGAAATACCAGGTGTTGCCCAAAATAAAATAACCCAGGTGTAGGACCTAGCACAAGGCCTGAAGATCCAGCCCAGGTTAGGATCACATTCCAGGCACCATGCCAGCCCACATATGACCCGAGATAGCAGAGGCTATGGACCTGGGCACATAGGCCTGTGCTCAGAGCTGCTGTGCACCTTCCTAACGACCCTCATCTAAGAAGTTGGGGAGACACCTTGACCCCACAGGATGCAGGGCAACGGCCCTGGAAGTAAACCTTTGAGCTTAGCCCAAACTCAAGGCTCTGGGGACGGCCAACCACCATTAGGATCCCAGAAGCTTCCCTCTCACCAACAGCTTCCCTCTCACCAACAGAAGACCTGTTGGTGGGAGGGAAGACTAGGACAGCAGCTGTCTCCACAAGGGCTGTGGGCAGGCCCCATGGCCTCTAGTGTGACTTCACTGTCAGAGGGGTGGCAGTAGGGCCACTGGGAGGAAGTGCTAGGATGGCTCAGCTCAGACCCATGAGGTCCCCTGGGTGGGAGCTGCTGGCTCAAGGTGCCAGTGGGAGGACCTGGCAGTGGAGGTAGAAGGCAGGGGCTGCCTCCTCAAAGGTTGAGGGAGCCACCAAGTGTTCTTAGCACCCCTGAGTGGTGTGGTTCCAACAAACACCCCATCTTCTAGCAGAAGGTCCAGGCCTTTCCTTAATGCTCTCCTTACTCCCTGCTCCAGCCTCCCCATCCCCAGCTGGGGCCCTGGGGTCTCAGCACAGGAGGTGTCAGTGATTGGATTACACTCTTACAAGTAATAATGGGGGGCATCTTGGCTGGTGGGAGGTATTGTAAATCATATCTAGAAATTATAGGCTAATAAGAACTTAACAACAAGGTCAAACTAACTAAATTAATTAGACAGAATTAAAGTTACCCAAGGTAGTCAGGATATCAGGGTAGAGGGGATGCCAGAAATCTTGCGGGGAATGTGAGACATCTTAGAGTAGGGGATATGAGATGTCTCAAGGTGAGAGACATGAGACACTGGGAGTGGGGGAATTGGACATCTCAGGTGGGGGCATGGCAATCTCCACCTTCTCAGGTCACTCACTCTGACCCAGCTTCAGCTTAGCTCTGTCAGCCAGAGTCATCCTGCAGCCCACACTCCCTATCTACAAACACCTGTTGGTTGGTCCATCTGTTTGTCTGCCCCTCTCTCCCCAGGGTGCCCAAGTAGGCTAAGGCCTCTGAGAAGAAAGAAAGTGAGACCCCTCAAGGAAGGAAGAGTTTGGTGGAGGGAACAGGTGGCAGAAGGGAAGGGTGGAGGACCACCCTTACAGTATGAGCACCACCTTCTGGCCTGCAGCTTCTGGGAAGCCAGGCACTTTTACATCTGTGTTCCTGGTTATCTTGCAACATTCCTAGCAGGTGGGAAGCATTAAAATAGCATTCTGCTTACAAGTGAACAAAGAGAGACCCAGAGGTATTCTGTTGCAGGAAGTCCTAGTAGCTCCTGGCTGGAAATGAGGCTATATGTGAGAGGGAATGGGCTTGTCACCTCAGGCCCACAAGTGGAGGGAGCATCTGCAGCCTCCAGGCAGACAGGTTTGTGCCTGAGAGAATAAGGAGCGCATTACAGAGAGTAAGGAGCCGCCCAGTGAGGACTGCCCTGGTCAGAGATCAGGAATCCGGAGTTGGAAATCTGCATGCTTCTTCTGGGGCTGTGGAGACAGTGAGTGGATGGGGTGGGCTGGGAGAGAGAGCCTGTTCTGCACTAGGCTTGGGGGAGAAAGCCAGGTTGTCTCTGGGTCCATCTGGGACTGCCTAATGGGAAAGGGGTCTCCCAAACCAGAGCAGGTTCAGACAGCCCTGGGCTTAGCCTGTAGGGCCCAGAGGTGTCTCCAGCCAACACAGGAGAGTCCAGTATGCCAGAGCCAAGAGCTGGGCAGCAGGTAACTTCTCCTTCAGGTCCCACCTGGGGGTCAACAGCCTGGTCAGCAGCCTGAGAAGGGAGTAAAAACTGGGAAAACAGAAGATGGGGCAAGACTGGCTCCACACTGACCACTACATGATGCCCTGAGGTCCTTCTCCACCCTGGACCTCTATCTGCAAAGATGACAGCCACCCCCAGGGGCTCCAATGCCACACGCCGCCACCTGCTGCCTGAACGCACCTGAGATGGCCTGGACAGCCACACGGAGGAAGCCCTTCACCTCGCCCTTCTCACTGACGATGGCCACGCGGTGCACCAGTGGCACAGGGTACAGCAGGTTGCTCAGGTACACAAAGGCCCTGGGGGGAAGCAAAGGCCGAGGTCATGGACCACCCTTTGGTGTGTGTTTTGAGAGGCAGCGGCGGCAGCACGGCCCGGCTCACGACACAACACGGAGCTGCAAAGCAGAGGGCAGCCACCGGACAGCCAGGGCTGAGGGCAACGAGGGCGGGCAGAGGCAGGCAGGGTGGGCGCTCAGAAGAGATGGGAGGAGTGGAGGACAGAGGAGAAGGAGGAAGAGCTGCAGCGAGCACAGCACAGCCTGGCTGGGCCCAGACCTGGCTGTCTGAAGAGGGAAGTTTCAGCCTGCTTCAAGGACTAGGGGCTAGGCTGGGCCCCCACCCACGTTGAGCTGCCATCATCAGGCTGGCACTGAGGGCCAGTGTCCCTCCACCTCCTGTCCATTTCTCAGTGGCCCCTGACGCTCATGGGCCCCACAGAGGGCCACGATTTACTCTAAGTCCCTTCCATGAACAGAAACTCAGTGAGTAAACCCGCTGAGATGGACACTCCCAGCCCAGTGCTCAGGGAAGCTGGTGAACGGAGCCCTGAGGATATCCCCAGACCCACAGCGCTGCCCAGCCTGCTCCATCAGTGACACAAAGCACCAAGAGACCTCCCTTTCCCAGGCAACTCAGCCATGGCACCCTAGGTGGTGCCAGAATTGGTCCAAGCCGAGGCCACAAAAGGCCATGGTCACTGGCTGGCTGCTGCATTCCCTGTGTTGGTCAACATGTGGGAGCACACAGACAGCCGGGAGGACAGAGACAACCCTGAAAGATCCTATGCCGCCCAGTCAAGGAGGCAGACTGTAAAAGTCCCCCACTGTTGAAGAGCACCTCCTGGAGTGTGGACACTCCAGCACAATAAGAGCCGCCCAGGTTAGCTGTGCTGCTGTGAGGACCAGCAGCTCAGCTCAGACTTCAGCTCAGGAACCTGACTCTGTGGCCCACCCATCCCCTCCTCCAGGCAGAGTGGACTGGGTAGCTACTGCTCCACCCAAGGGCTCAGCACCCATAGCCCCAAGCTCCCAGAAGGAGGAGGGGGATGCCCTGGAGGAGAGGCACTGCTCAAGTGGGGATGGGCAGGATTCAGACATGGGAGAGAGGACACTCAGGGAGGAGGTGGAGGAAAAGGAAGGTGAGGGAACAAGAGACAGGATGAAGGGGTGGGAGTTATAAGGGAGAAGAAGTAGGAGGCCCAGAGTCTTAGCTAGGGAGGTAGGGTGATGGGAGGGAGTCAGGGATTACAGCAGCCTGTGGAGAGGGGAAGGTCACAGTCTGCTGGCCAAGTGGGCACTGGCACCCTGGTTTTGAGCTGTGGGCAGAGAAGGGGGAAAAGACGCGGGTCACCTCCCCACTCAGCTCACTTTGGGTCAGATCCAACCCAGGCTGCACCCCTGGCCTTGCTCCACACTGGGCACCCCTGAAAGTCACTCTGATCCAGGCAGGTGCATCTCAGGCAAGGGGTGGGGCTGTGACCTCAGGCAAGGGGTGGGGCTGTATCCGGAGCCCCTGATTCCAAAGTAGGTGCTGACAAGGGGTGAAAGAGACCCCAACAGACTGCAAATGCCTCAGCACCCCTCTCAGGTGCGTTCTTGATCTTGCTTCCCTTCCCAGCCCACCTAACCTCCCTGTGGCAATAAGGCAGAAACTGGAGCACCACCCTGACCCTTCTTTCTAATCAAACCCATCAGTTCTACTATAAAAGTCTTGATGAAGCCCCCTTGACAGGTTCATCATCACCAGCAACCCCACCATGGCCCCCACAGCACCAAGAAGGGTGTTAGGGCACTAGTCAGACACTCCTATGCCCTTGGTGATGTCCAAACTCTTTGAAGGGGCATCCATGCCCCACAAAGCCCTGGGTGCTCCAGGCCCTGCCTCATCCTTTCTGTCAAGCTTAGCACTGGTCTGGCCTCACAGCCCATCAGTCCCTGGATGCTCTGGCTATCTTTGTTCCCGCCAATGCCCAAGACCCCATTCTCATTTTCATCTCCTGCCTCGAGCCTCCTCAGAGGCCCTGGCATCCCAGCAACCCATCAAGGCCCTCCTCTCAGCCAGCTCCTTTGTTCTGACTTTACACATCCATCTGCCAACCGACACTTGCTTCCTGGCATCCCTGCTGTGACTGGACCTCACCATCTCCTTCATGGTGAAATTGCTCAGACAGGCCTCAGTAGAGCGAAGAGGGTGCAGGTGCTCTCAGAAGGGCCTGAATGTCTCCCTAGGTTGCCATTCTCAAGCAGAGAAAGCTCCAGGTCTCTTTTCCCAGCACAGAGCCACCTCCAAGGATGCCCCTCAAGGAGCACGGGTCAAAAATCCCAGGATCCAATGAAAGAACTGTGGCTCTGCCCAACTGGGGTGTGGAGGCTGAAACTCCACTGCACTGAGTTACCCACCAGGTTAGGTACCAAAGCCCTGCCATAGTCACAAAAGAAAACTGAGGCCCAGAATGGGGAGGCCCTTTGCCACTCCCCACAGGGTGCCCAGCAGGCAGATTCAGTCAGAACCCCCCAGGATGGAGATGATGATGGCCTTCCCTCTCCAGGGCACCTGGGCTCCTGGACAAGAACCTCTACTTGACAGTGGGGATGGGGAAAGGGACTGCCACAACTGAACAAAGCTACCTTATCCAAAAGGGGATGTGCAGGGAGCTGGGGCTTGGGCCAGCCCACCACACTAAGGGAGATATAGGGTACCAGGTAGGACAGCCCAAGCATGGAGACTCTGAGCCAGCCCCTGCCCTCTAGTCCCCACCCCACCCTTTCCCCAGGCCTGCACCCACTGCAGGAAACCTGGGGCTGGGGAGACAGAGGAACTGAGGGGTAGAGATCCTGGACAGAGCATGCTCCAACCCCACCCCACTCTGCAGGGAGCCCATGGGGGACCCTTGTTAAGGGGGTGGGGCACCTCCTGCTGTGATCCAGATGAAGAAACAATGCCAGGCACAAGGGTCCCTTCATCCCTCAGCATAGCCTGCTGCAAAGGAGAGGTTAAACAGCTGTCTAGGCCAACCTAGCCAGGAGCACACTCTATCTACCCCAAATCTCCCCACCAGCTCATGGCTGCCTTCCTAGAAGGTTCAGGGCAATTCCACAGAGGCTGGTTGGCAGTGAGCAGAGCAGAGCCTTAGGCTCTAGAGCTACCCAGAGTAGTCACTCACGGCACCACAGAGGTGACCCACAAAACTCTGAGGTTCCCAGGACCACACCTGAAGGAAGACTCCCCCACCTGGGGGAGGAAAGAGGCTACCCCCTCTTGCTTCTACACTCACAAGGTTTCAAACTGACCCCTCTTTCTGACTCTCTCCCACTGCACCCTGAAAAGCCAGGTTCAAGGGAGTCTGAAGCAGTGTACAGAGAGGTAAACTGAGGCAAGAGCAGGGCCTAGTCCAGGTCACATGGTGAGGTTACAGCAGGCAAGCCCCATCCTGGCTCTCTCCATGGTGCCCCACTGATGAAAAAACCATGTTTGAAACTAACTGTGGGCTTTCAAAGTGGACACCTTCTGTCCTGTTGCCAATCTTGGACTCAGGACCACGCAGTGTAGCACAGACAAAAGTTCCCACAAATCAGATGAGGGTTAGGCTCAAGGACAAGGCCCAAGACCCTCGCATCCTCAGGTTCAGGTCATCCCATTGTGAAGCCATGCGGCAGAAATCACAGCAACTGGCATCTGCTGAGGCTCCCTAGGGACCAAGCACTGTGGTAAGCACATACACATACAGGCCGAATCACTTGCTCTTCCAACACCTGGGAGGCAAGTGTATCCATATCTCATCACTGGGACACGTCCTATAAACAGCACATCTCAGTTCAACTGGCTGCATCCTTCTTTCTTAGTGATGCACAGTATAGATACAGGATCTAAGATGGCATGTTAGACCTGATGAAATATGGTATTCATGCCCCATTTCACAGATGAAAAAACTGAGGTGCAAAGAGATGAAGAAGGCTATCAAGACCTGGCAGCAAAGGCCTGCACTGGATTTGAACCTGCAGGCTGGCTCCTTTCTCCTCCTCACTGTCCCATCCCAGTCCACTTGACTTGGTGATGGATTCATTCAGCCAGAAGGGACCTCTGGGTCCCCACATCTACTGACTGCAGTGGCAGCACCAGCCTCAAGGGGGCTGTGATCCAGGACTGGAAGATACCCCACCACCCTGCACCGAGCCTATGTCAACCAAAGCACCCAGGTGTGAAGTGATAAGGCAGAGCCTAGGGACCCTGTTGCCAATCTTGGGCTCAAGACCAGGCAGCAAAGTACAGACAAAAGTTCCCCATACATCAGATGAAGGCTGAACTCAAGGACAAGGAGCCTGGTGCCTCTGTCTAGTAGGGACAGTCCCCCAGGCCTCACTGACCTGGAAAGTTGTGCCCTCCACCTGACCCCCAGGTGCCAGAGACAAGCTGACATCAGTGCCTTCCACCGTGGAAGCCAGAACACAGTCCAGCCCTACCCCTGCCAGCCACAACTACTCACACCCACCGCACAGAGCAGCTCTCAGGATCTTGGGATCAAGAAACCCTGTCCATAGCCCCACTGCAAAGACAGGAGCTGAGTAGCCTCAGCCAACAATGGGTACCATGTGGGAGCCGAGGGATCAGCATGGTCTCACTAGTCCAAGGGGGCACACAGCTGACCTCAAGTGAAGCCCTCAGGCTAAGACAACATTTATCCACTCAATCCCAGACACTGTCCTTGGGTTGTTACCTCCCCACCCAAGCCCCTCCTTGGGGCCCTTGTCCCAGGTAGTCAGCCACTTGCCCTGCTCTTGATGTAGCTCCCGTGCCCACCCACCTTCTCCCATGCCCACCTCCCTTCTCACATGCCCACCCAGCTTCTGGAAGCATCTAGTCCAGGCAAGGATTGGCTGGGGAAAGCCAGAGCCCCAGACCACTTCCTCAGCCTGGGCAGCACTGGCCAACCCACTTTCCTACCAAGTTCACCTGCTTCCCCAGATAGCCAGAGGTGGAGGACCCTGGGAGCTGACCCTGGCCTTGGGTGAGCTGGTGGGGAGATCTTCACTGGGCAGACCTGGCCACAAAGGCAACGGTACCTTGAAGCAGACTGAAACCTGCCCCAGAGCGAGAGGAGGCAGCAGAGATAGACAGAGCAAGGGCTGAGTGTGGCAGGAGGGAGGGAGGGAGGAGGCAGGCGCTAACCACAGATTGGTGAGGTGCAAAGACGCATGCTGGGGCCCAGGGAAGCCTTTCCAAAGGGGACAAGAGTGGGTGCCCCAATTTTGCTGAAGCTTTGGAGATAGAGCCAGCAGCTACCAGAAGGATAAAAGGAAAATCAACAAGGGATCCTTCCCAGGGCCTGGGCCTGCACAGCTGCTGCGCGGAAGAAGCCAATTCTTGCCAAACCAAAAAGATCAGAATGATTCTTAAAGAAGCCCTTCACAGACCACCCCACCATATGGGGGGCCAGGCCTCTCTTTGATTTTTGTTTGGTTTGGTAGTTTTGTAAAATCTCAAATCCACAAAAGGGGGAAAAAATGTTGGAAGGACCCAGCTCTTTCCGGCTGAGACTGCAAGAGCCCACACCCCATTTCTCCCCATGACCTCATCCCCGTGACATTTATCCCTCACCTACCTGACACCTGGAGCCACTCCTGGGGCCCAGAAAGTATAGGGGGTCTGGCCCTACAGCCCGGGGTTTTCTGAGAGAGGCCTACAGAAACCGGTCTTAGGGTCTACTCTTCCCTCTGGGGCCCAGTGGAGCAGGAAGTGCAGACCCAGGGCATCTCAGGGGCAGAGAGCCACAGGTCTTTATCCAATAAGCCAGCTTCTCTCACCTAATGTCAGCCTAATAATATTCATGGAAATGAGTAATAATAAATCCATGGCAAGCGCCCATGGTAACTGCTGCCTTCCACAGAAGGTGAGGTTTCACTCTATCATCTCCACCCCAGGATGGAGTAAACCCAGCATAAACCCTGTGACATGGGAGTCACCTCAGCCCTCAGCTTTCAATATCAGTGCTCCAAGCTCAAGACTTCTGAAAGCTTCCACTGGCCTAGCTCAAAGAAGCTATCTCAAATTCCAAAAAATGTTGCTATTAAAAATTATCTCATGACTTTTACATACATAAAACATATACATTCAGCTGTTTATAAGCCAAATTTCCTACTACTACCACTGGGTTTCTAGATCTTTCCTTCACCTGTCTACTTTCCTTCCATAACATGAGGGCAGGTGTATTTGCCAAGTATGCCTGCAGGGCAGAGCCCCTGTTCCCTGAGCCTAGATTTCCCCAGGCCTCCATTCCATTCTCTGACTGTGGCCTCTCTCATCTGTTCTGGAGATATCATAACCATCTCCTCACATTCTGTGAGAACATAGGGCCACTTGCCTCCACCTCTGGTCAGGAAGGATGGAGTCATCCTCACCTTCACAGCCACTCCTGAAAGGAGACCCTTCCCTGCCCTTGGGATGGCTGTCTGCGAGTTTGCTTCCTTTCCCCACAGAGAAGAAAGAGGTACTGATAGTAGCTGGGAACCTCCATCTTCTCTGGATAATAGTGGAGGAGGGTGAAGCTGCCTCAATTAGAATGAAGTTGACCCCTGGGGGATGATGGGAGGGACACCCAGCTTAGAACAGCTGACCCTCACCTCTCAAATCCCCTCTTGGGCCCTGCACTAGAACTCTTAGGGAGGAACTTGGACTAGAACTCTAGGGAGGTACCTGAGCCACCCTGGGTTCCTACAGCCTCTCTGCAGAAATACCCCCACCTGCCCGGGGCCATAACTGCATGCTCCAGGGTACACTGCCTCTGCTCTTACTGGTACCCAGACTCTCCCTCCGCTGGCCCAGAGTGACTGTCTCCAGGATGGATGAGTACCCTCGGGTCCTCTCCCCATGGCCAGGCCCTGGTGGTCCAACTGTGCCCGCAGCAGTGCTCCTGTGAAAAAGAGCTGGGTCCTCCCCAGCATGCTCTCCTCGACCTCACCAACCTTCCTACTAAACTGAACAGGGGGGGCCGGTCGTAAAACGGGTCCCGGCCGTCGCACAGCGCGTGCTCCGGAAAGACGTCGTCCTCCAGGTCCTCCTCCTCCTCCTCCTCCTCCTCCTCCTCCTCCTCCCCCACGCTCTGCTCCTCGGCAGGCTCGGTGGCGTCGGAGTCGGGGCTCGAGAAGGTGGGGGAGGGGGTGAGAGCAGCCATGCGCTCGCTCATGCATGTGTTGAGAAGAGGGTAGCTGTTGCAGCCAGAGATGACTGAACTGAGGTTAGTACGACAAGACAGAGAGAAGTTAACACCAGCTACTCGCAGGGACAGACAGGGGCCAGGGTCAGGGTTGGGGGGGACTTCTGTTTAAAACCAAAACCAAACACACAGACCACCGAGAATGCTGCATTAAAAGACAAGAGAACCTAAATATACCCTGTCCCTAGGCTTGAAAATAAATCATATGTGTGGTCAGCAGGAAGGTTACAGACGACATTGGCAGGTGTGACTGAAAAAAGAGGTCCTGACCAGGTGTGGCTTAGGCCATGTGAGGACCTCGTGAGCTTGGTTATGTTGAGGCCTCAGAATACCACAGTCACGTAGGGGGCAGGGCTGGGCACAAACCCCAGACTGGGAGACTAGAGAAAGGAGGCAGAAATCCCTAAGGCTTATGCAACACAGCCCCACCTCCATGCTCCCACCCTCAAGGCTACCAGGTAACTGAGAAAGCCCGCCTGGGAGACTCACACGTTTGTACACATGGACCCAAGGGTCCTGGTGGCAACAGCCCCACTTGGGTGTGGATGACATTGCTGGGACCCCATCCCAGGTCCCCTAAAATAACAGGGCCTGTGGTATGTGGAGGGGAATGGCTAAGAGGAACCTAAGACCTGGGAAGACACGGGCAGGGAAGTCTGGTGATGGAAAAGAACATCTCGGGGATCCTTCCTCATGTCAAGGCAAGGCCCGTCGGGGTCCTGGCCTTGGGAGGAGGCCCACTTCCTGCCCCTACTACTGTCTTTTTCTCTTTCACTTCTCGGTGAGGGAAGGGAGAAGGCGCCCACCTGCCCACCAGCCGGAACCAGGGGAAGCGGTCGTAGAAGGGGTCTCCACCAGTCACCACATTGTCACAGTCCTCAATGACGCTGGAAGGCACCTCCGCTGCCCGGTCGTACATCTCCCGCATCAGGTCCAGACGCTGCCTGTAGGGGGCAGCAGTGGTCAGTGTGGGCTCAGGCCAACCACCCAGAAGAAGGGGCTCGGCCCAGCTCGGGCCACATTCTGCTCAGGGTCATTAAGTTTCAGGGAGTTTGCTGGAAAGAAACACATCCGTGGCCCTTGGAATTGGTTACCCACAAGTGACACACATCCAATTAAACATGTAAGTTCACCACTAGTCCCTCCCAAATTTCCTACAAGTTGACAGCAAAGTGACATGAGGAGGCAGGATGGGACAGATGGCATCGGGCAGCTGAAGAGCTGATGGAGGAGGAGGGAGAGAGTTCAAGCAAAGCTCGGAAGTGGGGATCACAACACGGAACCCTAAGAGCTCAAGGAATAAGGGAGCACTGGAGACAGGGGTTCAAAAGACCGAGAAGATACCCTAAAAATCACTAACCCAGGAGAAACAAAATGTTGCAGAAGAAAGGTGCCTTCTAGGGCCTGGGTATAATACAAATGACATAGTAGATATTCATCCTTCCTTCCAAAAGCCAAATGATAATCTCCTGGGAGAACAGGGGAAGGGAAGTGAGTGTGGAGCATGAGTGTATGTTTGCATGTATATGTGATGTATGTTTACATAAATGTGTATGTTTGTATGAATGTGTGAGTATATGTTTATTGCATGCATGTTTGTGTATGTTTGCATGAATGTGTATGAGCGTATATGTGTGTTTGCGTGAATGTTTGTGCATGTTTGCATGAATGGATTTGTGAGTGTGTGTGGGGTGTACGTATGTGTGTTTACATGAAGGTGTATGTGTGCACGAGTGTGTATTAACCATATTTTCACTTTCTATATCTTATGATATTTTGACATCTCCAGCGGGCTTGCGGGCTGAAAGCCCCTGCCAGGTCTAGCTAATTCTTAGAAATAGCTAACAGCTTGCCAGTGTACCTGCCTTTCCTACACAAACCCATCAATCCCGAGTCCATATCCCATCCACCTCCTTTCTTTAGCTTTTTCACATACCAACTCAGCATTACCCCTGGCCTAAATCACTCAGGGCCAGGTATCAGAAAACTAGGGACAGACCTATACCCCAGAGTCCTGGAGAATTATTCAAACTAGTAGCCCCAAGTTGTCTCCCCATTCTGCCTTGTCTTTCCCACAGAAACCCCATAAAGGCTGTGGCCTGGGCCTTCCCCCACTCCTTTCTGCCTCTTGACCAGCCCTGGCACCTCCCCACTACGGTCCTACAAGGCATGCTGTGCCTCTACTTTCCAAGGGGCATCAACCCCTCCTTTGATGGCACTGACATCTCTTTGTTAGTCACCCCTGTAAATCAAGGCCCACCATAAATCAGAGTGAATGCAGGGACAACAGACATTTAGCATTAGGAAGGACCATGCTCACATGCTCACGGAGGGACACATACTGGGCAGTCCTCCTTGCCATCCCAGCCTGGACCCTTCCACCCCTATTTCCTCTTCTACTTTCCACTGGCCTGGGCTCAGAGATCCACTTTCCAACAGCTTTCTAAACAGAGAGTGAGGTGGGGATTCCTTCCAGCTCCCTCCCTGTCCCTCCCCCACAGACTACTCTACACAGCTATCCTTCAGGCCCTGTTGTGCTAGTCCTGGGTATCCTGCCAGTCCGTGGGTGCCATGACCTGCCCTCCCCTCTGGTTGCACTGTCATGACCCCTGTGGACCCAGGGAGCACTGATCTCACTTGTCCCTTCCTTCATAAGAAATTACCCAAATCTATTTTTATGTGTGACCACTGCAAGGTAGAAGGGGCATCTGGATTCCACAAGGCTGGACTCTTCACATATATTTTTTAACTAAAAAAAAATTGAAACAGGTGAAACAGCTGCCCACTATGGAACCTGTGCCCATTTCCATTCCTGTGGCTCAGCCAGGAAAAAGGCCCACCCATCTGCCACCAACCCCAGCCACCCTCCAGTCACACCTGAGCTTCTCCAGTGTCCAGTAGTGGGTAGCCCCATTCTTCTGGTCCTGAACCTCCACAGCCACAATAGTGCGGGGGAAGGGCCGTGTCTCTCGGTCTTTGGCGGCCTCTGGGGGCAGCAGATCGGGTGGCAGAGGGGAGTAGAGTGTGTCTGTGAGGAGGACAAACTGGAACTGGACCTGTGACGGATGGAAGATAACCATAAGTCAGCCCCATTGGGGGAGGGAACAAAGGCCCTGAAGATCTCAGCTGTACACCCCACAACAGTTCACTGGAATCTTCCACCCAGTCACTGGAGAGGACCACTTGCTCCCTGGCTACCCATCAGGGTGATGACCTCTCTCTGATACGAGATGGCACAGACAGTGGGGCAGCCTACCTTCTTCTTCAGCTCCACGCTGATGGCGTTGGCCTCCTTGAGGAAGATGGCATTGCCCCACAGCAGGTCCCGCAGAGACGTGAACTGATACCACTTCCATTTCCGGAAAGCCCACAGTGCCAGCTCACACTCCCTCTCCGTCCACTGGACTATGGGGAGAGGACACACATGGTCATCACAGGAAAGCCATGCCACTGCCCACCACACCCTGCCCTCTGGAAGGTCAAACTGGGACAGTCATTTCCTGAGGCTGCCCATGTTGATGACACTGTGTACACCCACTGTATACTGTGGCCAGGGTGGTCAGTCAAGCGAAAAAATTAAAGACTGAAGGATTATTCCCCCAATGATCACTATGGCCAGAGGTGGACGGGCAGGCTGGCCTGGTGGAAGGAACTGTTTCAGCCCCTCCCTTCCCAGGTTTCCTCCTACTCTGTGCCTGGTGTCACACTAACTATTCTGGGTGCACAGGAAGAAGCAACTGGCAGAAAAATCTGCCACAGTGAGCAATGTGAAAAGTTACACGTGCCCAAAGGAAAGAAGGCATCAGCTCCCCACACGTGAGCATCACTGAAAGCTAGGGTGAAGGTCAGAGTGGTTGGTGGGGGCAAAACTGCCAATGATATTGGTAAGAACCACTTCAGACCAGCAGTGGGGAACCGTGGGAGAGGAGGCAGGAGGGCAGGCCAGGTGCTTCCATGTGGGGCTGACCTGTACACCCTCTCCTGGCTCACACTCCTTCTCTGCCCACTAAGCCCTTGAGAGAAGGACCAGCAGGGAAACAAGAAGGGGCCTGTCCTCGCATCCAGGCCCTACCCCTTCTCCCAACATAGTATCATTGGCCCTCTGCTCTTCCCAGCTAGAGCCCCTGAGCTTTGCAGTGGGAAAGAGCCTCACTAAGTAGACGAGGACAGACAAGGGAAGAGACCAAGGTCACTCAAGCACAAAGGTGTGGACCAGCTGGTCAGAGCTGCCCCCATCACCATGCCGTGGGCCACCCCTGAACCCACAGCAGCATGAGGTCTGCTGATTTGGCCCCAAGCACGTGCTGGCAAAGGGGAATCCTGAGATAAGGTGCAGAGTGAACTCATACTCAGGGGCCCCAAGAATCCTGAGATGAGGTGAAGAGTGGACTTGTCCTCAGGAGCCCCATGAGCCTCACAGCTGGAAGGACAGGGCAAGGAGACACATGTGAGCATGGTGAACCCTTGCCAGCACCATCCCCCTCATCATCCCAGCTGCTCCTGACAGAGCTAGCATATGTGTGCACACATGTATAGTCAAGTGTTTTCACATGAGTGTGTGCATGTGTGTGCATATGGGAGTGTGTGAGTGCGTAGAGGTGCTAGCCTGTCCCAGTTCTTCCTCTATGCTGCTTCCTAGAGACAAAAAGGTATTTTCCCAGGGGGACAGGTCCAGACTCCAGGACCAAGTTGCCAACCAGTGACCTCCAGGAGAGTCTCAGGGTTGCCTCTTCTCCAAGACCCTGCCCCAGCTGGAGACCCAGGCCCCACCCACCTTCACACTCAGGCACTCACCTTCATCCTCCGGCTCCTCCTCCTCCTCATTCACCTCTGGGTAGTACCTGGAGTCCATCTGCTTCTGCAGAGCCTCCAGTTTGCTCTCATAGTCCTGCAGAAAAAATAAGGTCTGTGGCTCCACTGCAAACCGCGAGTCCCCTCTGTGGCCCTCCCTGCCTGGGCCTCTTGCAGTGCACCTACACACAGCTTCACAAGCTCACACACAAGAAATGGAGACTGGTAAACAAAAGAGGTGAGCATGGGAGAGAAGGGGTCCCCTGAGGGGAGTGGGGGCCTGTTGGGCTGGAGGGGCCAGGGTCCTTACCAGTCTCTGCTGCTCCAGGAGGTAGGTGGCCTCCTCCCGCTCACGGCGATACTGATCCTCCAGCTCCTGGAGCCTGCAAGGGGGCAGTGGGGTGAACAAAGAGGAGGGGTGATGAGAGAAAGCAGACAGGTCAGAGGTGAGGGTGGGGGAACAGCAGGAAAGTTGGGGGGATCGGAAGCAGCCTCAGTCTCACCTCTGCTCCATCTCCTGCTTCATATCGATGCCCTGCTTTTCCAGAAGCTCACGCTGGGCAAAGGCCCAGTCCACAGGCTCAGCAGGTGTCTCCGCACAGGGTGTTCGTTCACGCTCCTGCCGGGCCTGCTCAGGGTGGTTGAACCGGAACACGTGGCTCTTACCCATAATGATGCGATTTCCTGGTGGACAAAGGCAAAGGTGGCCTTGGGGGACATGCAGATCTCTGGTGGCCTCAAGAGGGAAGGAGGAAAGAAAAGAAAAAAGGGTGGTACGGGCACCCCACCATCCCCAGCTCCAAGCCACTCTTTCCTCATTCCTCGCCGGGCTTGAATGGGCCTCCTCACTCTCACCAAATCTGCCCTTCAGCCACTCCCTACTCAGCATCCAGTGACATTTGCAAACCACAGATCTGGGATCTCTGCTATGCTCCAATGTCCCCACAGATGCTCTGCCCAAGGCTATCATCAAGTCATGCCCCTGAGACCCCTGAGCACATAGTCAGAACACTCCCTCTACCTCCCTCTGACATCTAGGATCTGGGGCCTTGTGCACACCAAGGCTGAGTGTGAGCCCCTCCACAGAGCACTGCTGCAGGGACTTGCAGACTTGCAGAGCCTTGTAGACTTGCAGAGCCCTTGCCATCTGTCTGCCCCCACTAGACTGGAACCAGGTCCAGGGCAGGTCTCTTGTGCCCGGGGCCAGGGACAGGGTCCACGTTCAAGAGGTCACAAGATGCTGGAAGGAGCCCTGGTGGCTGCCAACCAGCACAGGCAGTCATAGAGTCTCAGAGTTGGGCTTCCAAAGGCATGGGCTTCCATCTAGCTGCTCCTACCCCAGCGCCTGGGCCTACTCCATCTGTAGCACCCTCAGGGCTGCAATCACTGTCTTCAGACAGCCCTGCCTACAACAGTCCTGCCTATATGGGCTCCCTTTGGATGTTCTAGTTTCCTTTCAACTTTCCCTGGGAACATCAACTCTGCCCCTCCTCCCACCCAGGTCCCCATGTCTGCAAGTGGGTCCTCCCCCAGACCCCCTTCCTGGCTGCCCTCAGCTGGTCACTTCTTCTGTCTTCCCCATCCTTGGGCCCACATGCAACCCACACATAGCCCAGTTCAGACATCAGGAGGAAAACCCCAAGTCGAGGCCTCCTCTCTCAGTCCAGCCCATAGACACCAGGATCAACCCCAAAACAACAAGGGAAAATGGGCATAGCTATCTATCTGAACTGCTATCTCCCAGGGACATCAATTCTTCACAATGAGGCGACTCCATGAATTTGAGATGAACAGTGTATCCTTCCCTCCAAGGCATGCCAAGGGAACACAAAGACGGAACCGCCTGAGTCCTAGAAACTCCTACTAGATGCCAAAAGCCCTTCAGGGGTGGACAAATGGGCCGCCAGTTTCACCTCCCCCTCCCTGTCACCTGTGCTTCTCCCCAAGCCAAGGTAGGGGGATGGTCTCGCTCATTCTAAGCCAAAAGTTCACAAACCCTGGCCAAAGCCAACATGATGGTCAGTTTCATGTGCTAACCTGGCCAGGGCACAGCACCCACTGATTCAATCAAACACTATTAGGTGTTGCCATGAAGGTACTCTACACAAGGGGTCAACACCAGCAATCATCTAACTGTAAGTGAAGGAGGTCCCAGTAGTGGGGGTGGGCCTCATTCAAGCAGGTGAAGGCCTTAGAACCAACAGAGGCTTCCTTGAGTAAGAAATTCTGCCAGCAGACTGTGAGTCCTGCCCAAGAGTTTCCAGCCTATGAATTTCAGACTTCCCTGAGCAGTCCCAGAATCACAAGTCAGTTCCTTGAAATAAGCCTCTATACATATACAAGGGGGAGCCCCCCAAAATAGAATTTATTTATTAAAAATCGTGTATTTGTTCTTGCATGTTTAAACTTCAGTTATTCTCAAAGTATTCTCTGTTTAATACAGTACATCTATTAAGATGCTTTTTCCACTGCTCAAAACCATCTTTGAACTTGTCGATTTTGATGCCATCTTTTGTTTCACTTCCTCTGCATTAGCAAAATGTTTCCATTTGAGAAATTTTTTATCCAGGGATCAGACAAAAAGTCACTTGGGGTGACATCAGATAAATAAGGATGGTGGGGCACGGGGGTCATGCTGTTTTTGGTCAATCACCCATCATGAAATGGGCAAACCTGTTGAAAGAATCTCAAAAAATAAAAATAAATAAAAATTCACTGAAGCTGGATACAGTCTCTCAACGTTAGCTGGTACACTGATGCTGATGGGTTCCAGAACACTTACCTAGTGGGGGAAGCCAGTACTACAAGGGGGCCATTCTCCAAAAAAATAACGTTATTTTTGGAGGGGGTCCCCTCTCACACAAATGTATCTCTCTCTCTCAAAATATCTCAGTCTACATCTACCTCTAGATATCCTACTGCTACTATTTCTCTGGTAGAGCCCTAACCCCCAGGCAATAATCACAGTCACTCAGGAGAGCCACTGTATACATGTTGTCTGATTTTAAGAAGGGATTATATACTGTGTGTGTGTGTATGTGTGTATGTGTGTCTTATAACATTTATAACATCAGGGACACCTCAGTGCCTGGGAACTAACGCCAGCCCCAGGGTTCCAGGGTTCAGAGGCTGGTGTAGATCCCAACCCATTGACACTCTGTAACCCCTTGGCTCAGGGAAACCTCTGTCTCCAGCACTGTCTCCACCAATCCCACCATGATGGCATCCTTAGCTCCTCACTCAGCCCACAGCATAAACTCAGTGTCACAGATTCCCCAAGTTGTGTGAATGGCGTCTTCTCTACACCAGCCAATGGTGCAGGCTCTCGGATGCTGATGTTGTGTGCCCAGCATGGGGACATGGTGAGTTACTTGAGCTGTCAGGTGCCCACAGTCCCTTTCCCTGAATGCCCCACAGTCCTGCAGATCTGCCGTCCCAATGGGAGCAGACGGTGCATAGGAGTGGGTGACTCAGATGAGGAAACAGAGCCCTCACCTCACATCCTTGCCCACTCAGCTGACCCCTTGACTCCCAGGACGTACCTGACCGCAAGATGCTGGGCTCTGTGACTTTCTTGCCATTGACATAGGTGTCTGCCCCTTCACAGGGCTCCAGGGTCACCACAGCTACAGCACAGGTAGGAAAGGGCAGAGAAGAGGAGGGCTGTGAGGGACTGTCACTTGCAGTGACTTGGCTCACCTGGTACCCAGTGAGTCCCTACCCAGGCCTCCTTCCTGCTAGCCACAGAGCCTGACCACTGCTGACACCTTGTCTGGGCCTCAGAGAAGCCCGAGGGTGGGTCTCACCTCACTTAACAGAGGAGGAAAGGATCCCTTAGGAGAGAAGCACACATGCCTAAGTCAGAGCTGGAAGGCCTTGCTGGACCTGACAACCCAGGACCCTGCCAGGTCTCCAGGTGGACAAGGACATGAAGCAGCAGTCAACAGGTCCCAAGGGATCCCAGAGCCCTCTGGGTTTGGGGCCCACCCACACGGGAAAGGGCAGGGACTTCGTGGTCAGAGGAGAATTCTGAGAGAGCCAATTGTCCCCAGCACTGCTTAGGGCCACCATCCTGAGGCAACCAAGTTGGGGAGCAGGAGTTGGTCATGGGTCTACAGGCCAGAGGCAGGCCAAATGTCTTCAGGAAATACCTTGAGCTCAGACCCTGGGCAGTGTAATGGCACACTGACACAGCAGGGCCATCCAACACAGGCAGCACCAAACAATGAGGATGGGCCCATGTCACCTTCAAGAGGGAGGCCACTGGGCAGGCAGGAGAAATGGACAGATAGCTGTCCACAATCAACAGGAAAGTGTGGCCTAAAAATAGTTTTCTACACTAGATCTGGGCTCCCTTCTCATGGCTCACTGTCCTCCCACCATGAATACCACCTCACTCCCACCATACTGCAGCTGTGGCATAGGAGGTAGGGGAAACAGCCCCCTGTGTCCCCCACTCAGACCCCCCCATTCCCCTATCCCCAGCCTTCAAAGAGGCTCAGCTCTCTAAAGAAGTACTCAACCCTGGCCACAGGAGGCACCAGGCATTTTTCCATTACTGTCCCCCCAAATGTCACGCATGCACACGTGCACGTACACACATACACATATACACATACACACACACACACACACACACACACACACACACACACACACACACACACACATCCTGCCCAGAAATATAACTTGGCACCCACTTAGAGCTGGGAAGCTGGTAACAGGCGACAACTCAACTGGGGCTGACCCAGCATGCCTCAATCAGGCCTGATAATCAGCAGCACAGGGCCAGGGGGCAAGTGGGGGCTTCAGGGTGGTGATACCTTCACCGCCTCCCCTGGAGTCACTCCGGAAGACACAGTGCTCCTCCTTGATGAAGTGCCCGCTCAGAACAATGTCCTGCCGCCTCTCACAATCCTCCCTGCCCACTCTGCAGAGAGGGGACACCATCAGCAGCCTGACAGCAGAGACCCAGTACACCCAGGATGCCACTCACTGGTCCCCAGGGATATCCCTCCAGGATCTTTCAGGAAACACCCAGGGAGTGTATATGGGGACACAGGGGAAGTGACAGTGAGCAAGAGGCCCACTGTCCCAGTATATGCCCAAGCTTGGTGGCCCCTCTGTGGCAGGAACAGGGAGCCCGCCCCCTCCCCCACCCAAGCCCCAAACCCTGGCTTGGCTGGAGAGGCAGTGGGCCATCCTCCCACCTGGTGATCCCATCCTTGATGTAGTAGAGGAGGCACTCAGACATCAGCGGGTCCTCATTCAGGTTGACGAGGTGTGGCGTCTGGGGGGAGGAAAGAGGGTCACCTCTCCAGAGGAGAGACAGAGCCAGTGCTAGCCACCCCACCTGATCTCTCCCTAGGCACCAGATCACCACCAGTCCTAGGCCTGGCTTCCTGGGGGACACAGCGTCCTCCCCAGCCTGGCAGAGAGGACAGGAGGTATGAAGGAAAAGACTCCCAGAGGACCTCAGGCTCCTCCACTCAGCTGGTCTTGCCAGGCTGGTTAATCGAAGCCAAGAAAGTGAGGAACACAGAAAACCCTCAGCCAGCAGGTTGATGGAGCCCAGCCTCCTACACACACCTGGGGCACTTCAGGGGTAGCTGAGCTTCCGCGGGGCTGGGAGCTCCAGCTCTTGGCACATAGGGGCCCTGCTGAGGCTGTGGTGATGAGCAGACCCCAGGATAGGTCCCACAGGGTCCTGGACTCCCAGCTCTGGACTATAAAATGGGGCTCCAGGGCCCTGTTCCTGCTGAGAACACCCAGAAACTGTGGGATCTCAAGTGGGAGCCAAGAGCCAAGAAGGATTAGGACCCTGGCAGGGGGACTGGACCCTGGAGGCTGGGTAGTAAAGACTATGAAAGAAGTCCCCGCTGAGCCCCCAAGGCTTGGAGGTCAGATCTTCCACCCCACAGACTTCCTGTCCACAGGTCCAAGGTGATCTGACCTAAGTCCAAAGTGACCACTTCCCACCAGCCACACGTCTGAGAACTGCCCTCTGCTCCCTGCCTCACTCAGTCTCCAGGTACTACAGCCCCAACACCCCCATCTTCACTGTACTCTCTGAGCTCAGGAAAGTCCCCCACGGCCTGTGTCCCCAACAAGGGTCCTGCCACATGGTGAAGGCACCAGGCTGGGACAGTTCCTCAACTTCCCCCCTGGTCCCTTGGGGCAAGCCACTTCTATCCCAGTTATAAATCCTGCAGTGTCCCTACCAGCGCCCCAGTGCACAGTTGTGGAAACCTGGTTATCAAACAGAAGGCACAGATCCTCCCCAACCATCCCCTCCCCGTCCCAAGAAAAGAAGGGCTGTGCTCGCCATTGTGGGGCTGAGCGGGACCTGCAGCCGTGGGACAACTAACAGCTTGTACATGTCTTTCCAACCCCAAGAGCACTGAGCTTCTCAAGAGCAGGGCCCCGGTGGTCCTACTCCTGAGCAGTGCCTAGATCCAGGGCTACCAACGAAGCCAATGGACTCCAGGGTGCCTAGTCTCCCTAGGGAACGCCACACACCCCTAGGGATGTGCCCACCCCTCCAGGAAGGTGACTGGTCTGAACAGTGGAAGGAACAATCCATTCCAGACAAAACCAAAGGCCTGTGTGGAGGGTATGTGGAGTAAAGCCTTTTTAGGATACTGTCCATTCCTGCCCAACCCAGGCACCAGAACCTGCCTGCAGATTCTCTCAGGCCTCCTGCCTCTGGGCTTAGAACATGTTGTTTCCCCTAGGCTGGATCACAGCCCTGTCCAGCCCCTCCCAGGCTGCAATCACACAGATGATTGTTCATGTCAAAGCCCTCACTGGACATAGCACTTGGTGTGTGCTGGCAACAGCAAGCCACAGAGAGCCTTGGCGGGTAGCACAACAATGCTGGGGGTACCCCTCTGCTGTCCTGGGAAATACCATATTTTTGGGAGCCTGGGGACATGTGCAATATGAAAAGGTCTCACTGACTCAGTCCATACCCCAGGCAGCTAAGAGACCCATCTGATGTCCCAAGGCCACCAGGACACCCCACTGTGGGGATGGGGGGTGAGTCCCCCACACAAAGGAAGATGCGGCTGTGGATGAGCGTGACTTCCCTGGTGCCTAGGCCAGACCCCTGCTGCACTCTTCTTCCTCCAAGGAACACCCTCTGGCCTCCACCAAGGACAGTGCATCACCTGACCCTGTCTAGGTCAGGGCAGTACCACAGAACTGCAACCAGTCTTACCTTTTTGGGAGAGAACACACCCAAGGTACCGCCATCCTCCCTCATGGCCACGCCCATTTCGGCCAGCAGTGCTTCCCTGGGGAGACAGAGCTGGGATCAGCACAAGCTCTATGAGGTTTCCAAGACTGGCCTCACACTGACTGACTGACTGACAGGAGCCAGCAGGATTCCAGCTGCTGTGACCCTTGGTGAAGCCCACACAGCATCCCATCTGATCAGCAGGTTAAGGCATCGACTGGTGAGTCCAGCCCTTTGCACCATGATTGGCCCTCAGTGGACAGTGGACAGTGGACAGTGGTACATGAAGTGGAGGTTACTGGGGTAAGGGACAGGTTTGCCCCATGGCTGGAACATAGCCACCATGGGGTGTGGGAGTCCAGGACTAGAGAGTAGGGCTCGGTGCTTGTTCTGCCTGAACCATGAGATCGCTGGCTGCATCTCTCCCTCTAGCCTCAGTTTCCCTGCTGTCCACCTTTCCATCCGGATGGCTTCTGTCCGCCTCAGCTTCTCCTCCCAGGTCTCGTTGAGCTCAGCTATGATCTTTTCTGTTTCCTGGGGAGTGACACAGAGCAGAGTGAGCTTCTGGGACTGAAGGGCAGTGGCTCAACAGAAAAGGGGCTGCAGAACACAGGAGCCCACATTCCTTGGTCCATCCAGGCAGTGGAGATGACTGGAAGACCAAGGCAAAGTTCAGAGAACACACATACATACATACCCAAGAGAAAGGAAAAAAGGCAAAATAAATCTCAGGGAAATAAGAAACAAATACTCCCAGAAAACACCAAAACTCAGCTCCCAAAGCACAGCTGTCCTCACTGCTGCTAAGAACCCATGGGTCCTGTCCCTCTTCAGGACACAGGCGACACTTTCCAGCATCAGCATGGCTTCTCCCTTTCCTTCCTACCCATATTCCAGAGGCGCCTTATACTTCAGATGGACACCCATACCCCAGAAAGAACACCCATGTCCCAAGTGTATCCCCACACCTCTGGAAGGACCCCTTGAAATCCCAAGAAAGACCACCACACTCCAAGTGGACCCTACAACCCAGGAAGGGCCCTCACACACCAGGAAGAACTATTATACCCCAAGAAAGACCCCTGCATACCCAGGAAGAATCCCTACACCCCAAGTGGACCCCGCACCTCAGGAAGAATCCCCACACCCCAGGTGAATCCCACACCCCAGGAAGGACCTCCACATCCCAGTAAGAGTCTATACTACAGGGTCACTGGCTCCACCTCACCCCCACCCTTAGACTGGGCCTCTGTGCCTTTACCCCTCAGCTCCTCAGTCTCCAGGATCTGGGGCTTGCCCCTGCACATAGTCATTCACTGGAGAGAAGTGAATGGAAAACCTAAAACCAGCCGAGGGCATTGCTAGGGCTCATGAAGCACAGCCATGGGTTTTGAGAGGTGATTAGTTTCATGCAGGCGTGAGCACAGGACGGCCTAGAGGAGTTTGGGAGCCTGCAGAACACTCGTCTGCCCTTCTCAGGGGGTGCAGTCTCGTGGGAAACCAAGCAGAGAGCTGCAATGACACCAGCAGAGGGGGTGCTAGTGGCTGAGAGGGACCAGACTCCTCTCCACGAAGGCCAGTACACAGCTCATCGCTCCTTGAACAAGTGCCAGCTCACACCACTAAAGGTTCACAGGAAGTCTCGATCCTGGGCATCCAGCTTAGAATTTCCCCTCCAGGCTTGGCACTGGGGGCGGGGGGCACAGGTCATCCACACACAGAGGTCCAGGGTCCTGCAGGGGCACTTTTTACCCAGTGGCCGAATCTCATGCATCCCATGGCCTAGAGACCCCTGAGTTAACTGGCTACCTTGGCTGCAATGGACAGACTGGGAATAGGCCACAGTGCACCCGTGTGGCCACAGTCCCAAGACTCCTGCTGCCACTTCACTCTGGCCCTATCAAGACAGACCGTGCCTGGGGAGGGAGAGATGCATCTAATTCCTCTGAGTTCTCCCAGTTTCCCAGAGCCCAGAGCCTTGAGGCCAACCTGCCCTCACCTTCAGCCTTTCAATGGCCTCCTCACTGCCCGGGGCAAATAAGATGCGCTCATGGAGGCTGGACACAGAGGCCGCACGGCTGGATAGAGCTGAGAGCGAGGACGAGGGGCTCATGCCCACCAGGGCGTTGGTCACTGTGGAGAGAGTGTCAGGGGCTTGATTCACTGCCCCACCACGGTTAAGGTTATTGTTCTCAAGGTCGAACACGTCTATGGGGAGGAAGGGGAGGATGGGTGGACAGACAAAGGAAGGGAGAGAAAAGAGAGACCAAGTTGGGAAAAAGCAAGAGGTGGGGCCCAGAGAAAGCAAGAAACAGAAACCACAACTGAAGTGCAGCAGCCCTGCCCGGCCCAGGACAAGCGCATGCAAGGCCTTCCTGCTACCCCTCACCTGCCACCCCAGAGGAGACCCACTCGCCCACCTGGCCCAGGTCCACCCTCCCTGACAGCAGCTTGGTGTGGCCAGGCACTGGAGCTCACTGGTGCTGGGCCTTCTGCTTCCCCAGCATCTGCATTCCAGGCCCTATTGCCAGGCCACCTCACAGCCTCTGCACTTGAGGGCCACGAGCTCACATGTGCCTGCCCTGGCACTTGTCCTCCCTGCCTTTCCCACCTTGTTCACTGACTGGCTGGTGGCCACTTGGCAATGGCCCTGCACCTAGGAAACCCACACTCACCCTCATCCCCTTTGGTGGGGATGTCCACCCCTCATACCCACCATAGGCCTGGGCCACCACACACCCCCAAGCTATGAGGTCAGGCCTTCCTAATTGTCCTGTCCACTAGCATGGAAATTAGCCCCGAGACCACTCTAGGGGAGAAAGTAAACACAGCCCCTTCTCCACCACAAGGAGCTCACCCACCCACCCAGGGCTTGCTTGCCCCTAAGGTAGGGGAGGTAGGAATGTGGCACCTTCCAAAGTGGGCAGTGCCAAGCCCCTCCTAGCAGAAGCACACGCACGGCAGAGCAGCAGCAAGCACAGGACTGCACAGGGCACTGGGGAAACTGAGGGCACCCTGAGACCTGGCGTCAGGGCGGCACTAAACCCCATGGAGCTAAGCCCAAGACAGAGGAGACCCAAAGGCCATAAGTACTTAGACTCATGGCATTTCCAGAGATAAGGGTCCTGGATATGTGGGGTAGCTGGAGAAATGGCCTGGTAGACAGAGGCCTGAGCCAAGAGCAAGGGAGGGGACTGGTCCTCCAGCTCTCCTGGCCCTTTGGTGTTGACATTCTGACCTTTTCTGGCCTCTGGGTGCACAGGCAGGGTCAGAAGGCATGACCTTGGCTAATTTTAAACTAAGGAGGTCTCAGGAGCAACCTGATCTCCTTGTTGCCTCAGTTTCCCACGTAGGTTATACCGGCAGGAATGAACCATGAGTGTGGACTCACAGGTAGATGGAACCCCACATCTACCAGGAGAGTCCTGTGACTGAGGGTGGGCAGTTGCTTCTGCCTCCAAAAAGGAGGGGAAAGCAGAAGAGGTGCCCTAAGATTCACCCCTCCCGGCCCATGCTGCCCTGGGCCCCCACAATGGCCAGGGCTAGAAGCAGAGGTGCACAGAGAGCAGCAAAGGGGAATACACACATTTGGGTCCTCCAGGCACAGTGTTTGCTATGGGGGAGGGGAGGCATGGGGGAGGGAGGAAAGACAGAGAAACAGAAGAACAGGTTTGTCTTCAGAGGGTCGGGCACACCCTTCACAGGCCAGGCAGCCAGGAATGGGTGAGTAGCCACAGGCAGGGCTGTGGAGGTCTTCATGCAGGGACACAGGGTCTGCTGCAACCCCAGCACCCAAGGCCTGCCCACAGAGCTTCCAAGGGAGCTGCCTCTGGCCCACTGGGGCCAGCACCAAACCCAAATCATGCAATTCCAGCCAGGTCAAGGCCAGGAAACTCACCTGGTCCAGGGCCCCTGCCCAGCCTCCCACTCAGAGGTGGTTATGCCCAGGAACAAGGAACAGGGACAGGGATTGGTCCAGAGGGGTTGTGGGGACAGCCTGGACTGGGGCAGCTCCAGTCCACGCTACAGCTAATGAGGTGGTCCCAGGAGAGAGGACCTGAGAGGTCCTTGAGGCTGAGGCCCTGAGGTCCTGCCCAGGACAGACTGGCACAGACACTCACTGTCGGTGATGTCTCCAAGACCCTGAGCATACAGCAAGTCCCGCAGCCGGGTCACTTCATCCTTCAGCTCACGGATCAGTTTGTTGTTGGGGTCCTCATTGATGACAGCATTGCAACGGATCTGCTTGGCCCGGTCGGCATACCTGGGCAGAAGTGGAACTATGGGCTGTGCTCAAGACAGGCCCATGTCCGGCAGGCCTAGAGGTGCCCAGAGCCTGGACTGGGACATAGTCTGGCAGGGAGGCCTCAGCAGCTGGGCAAAGGGATGGACCTGGGCCAGCAAAGCCCAGTACAGAGTGAGAGTCACCCCACTGCAAGTCACTGGGAATAGCATCTGGGACCACTGGCCAGAGAAAACCTACTGTGGGGTCACCCAGCCCTGGTTCACCCACTTGGGGAAGTTTGAGGCCCAGAAGAAGGGACAGAGTAGTGTTTTCTCCCCACAGTGGTCCCAGGGTGGAGGGAGCAAGTTCAACCTCTGGGACAATGTGAGAAAGTCTATGTTTATGCAGTTTCACTCCTATAGTGCATCAGCTGATGCACATATCCGTGTTACAAACAAGTATAGGAACCTCCATGGGGATCACATATCCCTTTTCTCTTTACTATTGGTGGTGCATGGCCAAAAGAGGCAAGGAGACTGCTGACCCAAACAACTGAGCAGTTCCTGCAGGGCTGGAGGCCAAGCCTCCCACCACAGTGCTCACCCTGCAGTCGCAAAGATCTTTTAAGACACACTTGTGTCCCCTTTGTTAAATAAAAACCCAGGCCAGGATCAGCAGCTCAGCCTGTAATCCCAGCACTCTGGGAGGCCGAGGTGAGTAGACTGCCTGAGCCTGCGGGTTCGAGACCAGCCCAAGCAACTTGGCAAGACCTCATCTCTACAATATATCAAAAATTAGCCAGGTGTGATAGCGCGCACCTGTAGTTCTGGCTATTTGGAAGACTGAAGCAGAAGGATCGCTGGAGCCCAGCAGGTCAACACTGGGGTGACCATGAGTGTGCCACTGCACTCCAGCCTGGGCAACAGAGTGAGACTCCAACTCAAACAAACAAAAAAACCCAGGGACTCCCACAGCCAGCAGAAGAGCATACAACGCTTAGCCCGGTGAGCACAGCTCTCCCAATCTGGTGGCACTGGGCTCTGGCTGCCGCAGTCCCAAAGTGCACCCCAAAGACTGATGGAAATGAAACAGCACCCATCCAGGCTCAGAAGCCCCAGAACCAATCACTTCCAGCCTCACAGAATTCCAGGTGAATCCTCCAGAAGAGGCACCATGCTCACTGGCATTGCTAACTCAAGCATGGAAGGATCCATCCCCCAAGACACATGATGGGAAGCAGAGTCTGCCTCCCTGGAGAACACACCTCAGTGTGCTGAGAGTCTCATCGTAGTTGATATCTGCAGGGCTCAGGGCTGCCACCATAGCAGTTCGCGAGTTACCACCTGTGAGAAGAAAACCAGGTTGTACCCAGGGAGGGAGTCTAGGCCCTAATGCTGTGTCCGCTACGCTTTCTCCTTTCTCCATTTACAGATGGAAAGGCTGCGACTCAGAGGGGTAAACTAAGTCATAGGTTTACCCCCACCCCACCCATGAGTATGGAGAACAGTAAACTTGGCCTTCCTTGGCTGTCCCTTCATTGTAACACCAGACACCTCCATTATTTCTCTTCTGTGTAGTGTTTTTCTCATTCACATTTGGGGCCAATTTATAACAACCAGGCCTCCCTTTCCATATAACAGAGAGGCAAGTTGTAGAGAGTTTTATGGTATTTATTTCAAATATAAAAACTGTTTACGTTCAACAATTTTTTCACCCACTTGAATCATTTTCATTTGAAATATTTTCCTCAATATTTAACATCAGATAATATGTGGTGTGACTGTGCTCTCTCTCTTCAGAGGAGGTTGATCACACGGGGCTCTCAAAGGAGTCAGTGATGGGCGAGAGTCCTGTGGGGGCAGTGGCCTTGGCAGTCCAACAGGGTCACTGCCACCTCCACTCCAGCTCTCAGGACTGTTCATCATCTGCGCTCCAAGTTTGGACAGATGACTTTACCTGCTTGGTCCCAGGGACCTGTGTCCTCAGGGCCATGTTCTCAGGGTATAGATGCCCCATAGTTCCTGTGAGAAGACAGTGTGAAGGCCTAGGCACATGCCACACTGGGCCCTAGGAAGGGCTCCATGGGAGGACTGCCCCGCCCTTACTCTGAAGCTGAACCTGGGGGACTCTTTCCCAGCCCACATGTTGGGTGAAGGGACACACTTTTGTGCTCTCTCAGTGAGGCCCACCTGCCCCCAGGAGTTTCCACCTACCCCCTCCTCCACCTGGCAGGCCTGTATAGGCCTATAGGGTTCAGAGGCAGTCAGCCAGGGTTCTGCATGCCTCAGCCATGCAGCCAAGGAAGGCCAGAGACCCCCAGTCATCTATGTTTACTAAGTCACCCTGAGACTCAGTTTATCTCCCAGGGCATCAGCCTCTCCAATTGTAAATACAGCTGGGATGGTGGGTGGGGGAGTGCCACGGCTATTTAGGGAGAGATGAGATCAGCATCGGACATGTTTCAATCTTCACCTCATCTATCTGCTCAATTCTCAGAATGAAGAGGAGGATTTATGGCAGCCCCTCAAAACTCAGTAAGTAAGCAGGGCTCCCAGGACTGCATCCCAGGCCCCTGTTACAGATGGGGAAACCAAGGTCCAGGGAAGGGTGGGTACTTGGTCTGTGTGTCATAGTTGGCCTGACCCAGGAGCACCAACACTGATGGGTGTGTGCTCTACATCCTGGTTTCCAGACTTGCCTCCATTAACCTACCACCAGCCACTGCTCCCAGGCCTTCCAAAAGGCCTTGATTCAGAAAGGATGTGACGCCTCTTGGTGGCTGGGTATCCCTCTCAGGCAGGGAGATGGGCACAGCCCAAGGTGAGAGTTAGAGCCCCGGGGATGGGCGAACCCAAGAGTTCTCACCCAGGTTTTCCCGAAGGAGCCAGGTCAGCACGGAATCTCGGTACGGAATGAAATCTGTCTTCTTCTTTTTCTTGTTCTGTGGCAGAGGAATACTCAAGGTCAACCCTGAGCCCACTATAGAAGGGAAAGGGAGGTGCTAGGGCAGGTCCTACCAAGTGGGTCCCCAAACCCAAAGGCTGAGGTGAAGGCAGGGTTGAACCTGCCCTGTTGGTCATGTTCTCAAGCCACCCAGGCCTTTCTCCATCTGCACCTCAGGGCACCTCTCCCAGGTACCTCCACTCCAGGTCAGAAATGAACTTTCTAGCACATTCCTCAGGTTTCTTCCTCATCCATCCCTGCTGTGTATCTGGGCTACTCAGCTGGACAAGAGCCCAGGAGTGCTTATGTCACCGGTGAGTGTATCCTCTCACTACTCTGCCAGAAGGAGCGACCTGAGCCACAGCCCTCTATCTTGAACACTATCAGCGACTCTTTCTGTCCCACTGCTAAATGGAGCATCCAGGGTTCTGCTGGCACCCACCCAGCTTATCCCTCCCCTTTCACCTAGAATTCACCTTCCCTCTCCATAAGACTTCCCACCATTCTTCAGAAGCCAGTGCACAGGTCCCTCCTCTAGTAGTCTGTTCTGCCAGCCCTACCCTTAGGATGAAGCATCCTCTATACTCTTGCTACCCCTGTGGCTCTTTACTCTTCCATTAAGGCAAACAGCGGTCACTCAAAATATGGACTCCAGTCATGCCATGGCTGCTGGGAATTGCTTCTTATGGACACTCTATGACTGACTTAATAATTTCACTCATTGTGGGCTTCAGTTACTTCCTAGTGTCTATTCATTCACATGTGCATTTGTTTATGAAGTGTTTGCCAAGTACCTGCTGTAGCCAGCAGGCAAGGCCCCAGCCCCAGGAGCCCACACCCAGGGACATGCACACAGGCACCCCCTGGAGGGCTGGGCCATTTCTCTAGGCAGAAACGTCATTGCCCTTTAGGACAACCCCCAGGGGGTGTTCCATTAGCAGAAGACAAAAAGCTTGAAAGCTTTTGAGACATGGGGAGAAGCCACACTGGCTTCTCCACGAACAGGGTTTCAGGATGTCCATCTCACAACGTGTCAGGGTTGCCTGCTTTTTTTCCTTTGGAAACTTGGTAGGAGAAAAACTACTTCTAGTTTGTTTGTTTTTTTATTTTTATGTTTTTGATCACTTAATTCCTGAAGGTAAATTCTCTGCCATGGGTTCTGTTCTGTTTCCACATAAATGCCCTCCAACTACTCAGCCACTTCAGCAGGGACAGGGAGCCCAGTGGCCTCTTGATTCCACTGCCCCCTCACCACCTTGCCTCTCCTGCCATCTGCCAGCAGCCCCCGTCCAGTCGGGCTCTGCCATCTCCCAGAACCATCCACTGCCCCACCACCTCATGCCTAGATCAGGGCAACACTGACCTTCCATCCTCCTGACTGCAGACCCAGGCCACCCACTCCCAATCTATTCTTCATGCAACAGCCTGAAGGACATGCCCTGGGCGAACACGGACGCTGTGAGCCCTGCTGAAAACCCACCCACCACTTCCCATCTACCCCCGTCAACCAGTTTCTGACACTGCACCAAGGATTCAGGGCAGGCTCCTGACCTCAACTGCCTCATCATCCTCATGCCCCATGCTCCCTGCTCCAGGCATCATTCCTAGACCACTTCCTCAAAAACTCTCTCACTCAGTTCCTAAAAACATTTCTATCACAATCCCGCCAACATTTCCTCCCAGACCCTCATACAGCGAGCCACACAGTTCCCACATAGCCTCACAGTCCCTCACTCAGTCCCTCACACAGTTAAACACACAGTTCCTCAAAGTTCCACATTGTTCCTCTCACAGTTGCTCACAGCCCATCACACAATTCCTCAGCCTCTTACACTTGCCCACACAGTTCCTCAAGAGCCTCGCAGGACCCCGAAACAGTTCTTCACAACGTGTCACCTAATTCACAATAATTCAAACAGAACTCACAATGTGTCACGTAATTCATCACAGTTCCCTACCAAGTTCCATGCACAATTCCTCTCACAGCTCTGCACAGAGCTCTCTCCGTGGTTCCATGCAGATCTCTACACAGGTCCTGGCTCCACACACTCCTTCACAATTCTCCACACAAATCCTCACAGTCCCTGACAGAGTCTCATGCATCTCCCCCAAAGCTTTCTCACAGTTCCTCTAACATTTCCCAACACAATTCCCCACACAGTCTCTCACACAATTCTCGGTTTCTCAGAGCTCCCCACGGTCCCTCGCAGTGTTCCTAACACGGTTATACACGCTTCTCACACTTCCTCACACCATTCCACGCTGTTCCCCGAACACTTCTTGAGCTCCTTCACACAGCTCCCCCATGGCTCTCCACACACCATTTCACAAACTTCTTCTCACAGTGCCTCACAATTCACACAGTTCCACACAGTACTCAATAGTTCCTCACCCAGTTCCTCACACGTACCTCACAATTCATCACACAGTTCCTCACTCAGTTCCACGGATCTCTGTGCAGTTTCTCAAACAACACCCCTCATGATTCTTTATTCTGTCCCTCACACATTCCCTCACAGCCCCTTTACACACTCCTTCACATCACAAATAGTACAGTTCCACACTCACCTCCCACACAGTCCCACACACTTCCCACACAGATCCACAAGCACCCCTCACACAATTCACCCATAGTCCACACACGCTTCCCACACAGTCTCACACACTCTACCCTCACAGCTCACCCACACAGTCCACACGCACTTCCCACAGTTCTACCCACACTTCCCATGGCTCCACATACACTTCCCACACAACTTCACAAATACTTCCTACACAGTCCACACTCACTTCCCACACAGTCCCCCACACACTCCCCACAGTTCTACACATACTTCCCACACAATGTCACAAATACTTCCCACACGGTCCACTCACTTCCCACACGGTCCACACTCACTTCCCACACGGTCCACACTCACTTCCCACACGGTCCACACTCACTTCCCACACAGTCCACACTCACTTCCCACACAGTTCCCGCCATAGTTCCACACACAGTTCCTCACACAGCTTCTCATGATTCCCACACAATTCCTCACATCCCAGATAGAACTCCTTGCCCAGTTTTGCATATATTTCCCCAAAAAGTTTCTTCCAGCTCCTCCAACAGTTCCTTACATAATTCCACACCTGGTCTCCCACACAGAGCCTCACAGTTCCCACACAGAGCCTCACAGTCCCCACACTTCCCCACACTTCACACATTTCCTCTCACAGTTCCTCACTTGTCAGCCCACACTTCCTCTCACTCCCCCGCAGTTCTCTCACAGAGTTCCACCCAGTTCTCCATCCTTCCCAGCTCTTCGGCTTCTCACACGACTCCCCACATCGTTCCCCACGGTTCCTCACCATCCCCCCACGCCATTTCTCTCACAGTTTCACACAAGTCCCCACGTTTCACACACAGGTCCCATTCCAGTTGCACACACGGTTTCCCAAACGGTCCCTCTCGCAGTTCCTCACACCGTTCCTCTCAGGTCCTCACACAGCTCCGCAGAGCTCCCACACAGTTTCTAGAGTTTCCTCACACGTTCCCACACCGTCCCTCAGGTACTCCTTCAGCTGCCTACACCATTCAGTCCCTCACAATCCTTCACACAAGGGTGAAGTGTCACAACCCCAACACAGCTCCTCACACACTTCCCCAGTTTCTCACAGTTCTCCAACTGTAGCTCCCAGTTTCGCCTAGTTCCCACACAGCTCCCCACACCATCTCACAGGCTTCCTCTCACATTTCCACACACTCCCTACCTAGTTCCCCAAACAGTCACACGGTTTCTCACAATCCCTCCCACAGTCCCCGACACAATTCCTCCTATCATTCCTCACACAATTTCCCACACGTTTCTCATGTAGTTCCACAGTTCCTCACCCAGTTCCCATACAATTCCCCATGCTGTTTCGCACACTTCCTCTCATGGTTCCACAGTTCCTTACACACTTCCCCACACACATCTGCAGACAGTACTTCACCCTTCTTATGCGCTTTCTCTCAGGTTCTCACATAGTTCCTTGGACATTCCTGGAGACACTTCTTCACACTGTTCCTCACACGGGTTCTTCCAGTTTTTCACATAGTTTGTCACACGGTTCCTCACCATTCCCTCAGGTTCCGCACACAGTTCCTCACATAGGGCTACACAGTACCTCACATTTAGCCTAAACAGTTTGCCACCAAGATCCTCACACAGCTGCACACACACTTCTTACACAGTTTCGCATGCAATTTCTCTCACAGCTCCTTCCACAGTTCCACACACTTTTCCTCCTGGTTCCCACACACACAATTCCCACGTGTTTTCCCATTTCATTTCACCTCCTCTCACACTTCCACAGAGTCCTCGCACAGTCCCCACCCAGTTGCTCACACAGTCCCTCACCCACGGCTCCTCAGGCTTCCCCACAGATGTCTTCCTATTTCCCCACCGCTTCTCAAACATTTCCCACAACTCCTCAGTTTCCTCACAGTGACTCATACACTTTCTCACACCATTCAACAGTGCCCCACAAAGTTCCACACAGTTCTCTCAGCTTCTTACACTGCTCCACGCAGTAGTTCACGCTTCCTCACACATTTCTTCACACATGCTCCCATAATAGCTCCCCACACGATTCCTCACATAGCTCCACCCGACCCAAGTGTCATTCTCACACTTCTTCACACCGCTTCCCACACAGCTCCCTCCATGCACAATCTATCACACAGTATTTCACAGTTGCCCATGCAGTTCCTCATTTCACTGTTGCCCCCTCACACAATTCCCACTCTTGTCCCACACCATTTCACACACAGTTCCCTACAGAATACCACACAATTCTTTCCCATCTCTTTCCCACCTCAAGCCCTCACACCAGCCCTTCCAACCACTGGCACAGGAGCTCCTCCCACCCGGCTGGCTCCCCCTACACTCCTCAGGTGTTCACCCTAAGACTTACTCCCCTGCAAAGCTGCCTTACAAACTAGAGGCATCTCACTTGGGGGTCACTCTCATAGCCCATTTTTTCCTTTATGGAATTCATCCCAATTTTTAATGATATGGCGGGGGACCCCAAAAAATCCAGAATTATCTTTTAGAGGTCAGGCCCCTGGTAGTGTAGGCTTCCTTGGTTAAGTAAGTGTTCTGGGAACCCACTGGCATCAGTGTACCAGCTAGCATTATTGTGAGAGACTGCGTTGTGGAGGAAATGTCCCAAGTTGTGGCAAACGGGTGACTGGACCTTCCATCATGACAATGCACCCCATGTGGTGCTGAGTGCATGGCAGTTTCGACCAAAAATGCTCCACTCTCCCTATTTACCTAATCTTGCCCTGAGTCGTTTTTTCTTATTTCTCTGGATGAAAAAATTTTCTCAAAGAGAAACGTTTTGCAGATGTGGAAGAGGTAAAACAAAAAACGGCAGAAGCACTAAAAGGCGTCTGCACTGACAAGTTCAAAAACTGTTTTGAGCTGTAGAAAAGCATCCCAATAGGTGTACTGCATCAAACAGACAGTACTTTGAAGATGACTGAAGTTCAAACATGTAAGAAGAAATACACAATTTTTTAGAAATAAATTCTGGGTTTATTGGGGTCCTCCTTCACATTCTTATTTTTCTGTTTCTGTGCCTACCTCCTCCACCGTGCTGTGGACCCAGAAGACCCGTGCTATGCACCACTAAGGCCTAGCTGCTGGCACAGGGCCTGGCTCAGAGGTGAGTTCAGCATGTTTGTTTATTAAGTGAACATGGGAAGGATGCATTTTACTGCTGAGACTTTCACAGGAAGTGCTGGGCTGAGGGCTCTCTGCTTCCAGCCCCCTCCCCTTGGGGTTAAGGAAAGCAGCTTACCTTGTTGGGTCCAGAGTCCTGAAAAAGAAAAGACAGAGAGAGTCTGAGGACCTGGAGTGAGGCTGGGGAACCAGGGTTTAGAGAGAGGAGAGTATGGGCTGGCTCCAGAAGACAAAGGAACAGGAAGAGGTCTGAGAGCAAGCTGAGTGTCTACTGCCCACTGCCCAGCCATAGTGGACAACCTGAGCTGATTCTGATAGGCCAAATAACAATGTGACCTCTAAGGCTCCTTCCACCCAGGAGTCTTCCCCAACTCCCAACAATTTCAAAGTAGGGTAGGCTATCCTGAGAGCCATCCTTCCCTGGCCTGCGGCCTGGATTTCTTGGTGAATGGGCAATGCTGTTTGTCTCTTGGGGCCCACCAAGCCTAGCCCCTCTAACTCCATGGGTCATGGGTTGGCCCCGGAGGATGGTCCGGACTGGACCAACCTCAGTCAGAGTTGACCACAGTCAATATCCTCATCATGGCCCATGGTGACTTTCAGAAGAGCCCTGTGAAGAAGGCATACCCATTTTACAGTGGGAAAACTGAGGCTCCAGGGAGAGATAAGGATCACTATCTTTTTCTAGCCTTGTGACACTTCTTCCATCTCTGGGCTTTCACTTAAACCCCAACCAACTCACCAGGAGACAGGACTGGGAACAGGTATAACAGACTCCCAGGCTTCTCTACGGAGGGCAAGACGGGAAGCCCCCCCCACACACACACAAATCCATCCCATTAATCTAATTCCAGAAACCTGGAGCCAGCTCACCATTTCAGCCAGGGCAGAGATGACTTTCCCCAAGGTAGTCAAAGACTTGTTGATGTTGGCTCCCTCCTGTGTGCAGAAAAGATGGTTGGGACATCAGGAAGCCTCAGAAGCTTCTTGCTTGAGTAACCCCATGGGGCTGACCCATGTGACATGGGGCTGATGCCACAGGCCCTGGCTGTTGACCACTGGGCCAACTGGGGGCCTGGGATGCTCTGGCAGGAAGCCAGTCAGAGGCCTCCTGGCCAGGAGTGCATTTCCCAGGACTTCTCCACAGCTCCATCAGAATCCTAGAGCCAACCACACATCCCCATCCAGAACCCCTTCCCAACCATCAGATAATAGGGGACAAAAGGGGACTCAAGAAAACACAAACTCTCCTTCCTGACACCAGAGACTGTTTCCACAAGAGGGTGTCCTCTCAGGACATTGGCCAGCCAACTCGCAACCCCTCTGTTACCTAGCAGCCTCTGTTCTTCTGCAGGAAACACATAGCCACCAGTGGGCACGAGGTACCACATAGCCACCACCAGGCACGAGGTACCACAGGGGCCCACGAGAGAGACTGCTTTCCTGCAGGGACTTTGACCTTGTGTACCCAGTACTAGTGTACCAGGTACAGCCCTCTGAGTGCTGGCAGCCTAAGACCCAGTCTGTGTCCTCAGCCCGCCCTGCCCAGGCTTACTCTTGGGGGTGGCCCAAATTCCCACAACCCAGGCAGAGCCTTCCTTCCAGGTCCATCCTGGAACAGGCCCTGCTTGGACACTGGGTCCCGCCAGCAAGTTGAGGGCCCACTGCTCTCATGGAGTGGCGGCCTGGCCCTACCTTGAGGCGCGTGCCCTTGGCGCCTGTGGAGTCAGCCCGCTCGCTCCCAGCCAGGTCCACCAGGCTGATTTTGCTCACCTGAAATGGCAGATGCATCAGATGCAGGAGATACCGCAAGGCTGCTACTGGGGGGGAGGTGCCCTGACCTCTCTGGGCATGTTCTCACAGGCCACTTAGAGCCATGGCCAAGCCCCTCCTCTGCAAGGCAGCCACCCCCTCTTCCTGGGGTCCGGCGGTCTCTGGCCCCACATCATTTCCATCTGCACTTCTGTTCACAGTTCCTTCAACTCCCAGCCCAAGTAAGGTGTCAAATCACTTCCCCAAGAGGTTACACACCTGAATTCACACAAAAGTGCAGAGTCCCCATGGCACCCATAAGGTAGGCTGTCACCTATTTTTATAGGTGGCACTCATCGTCTGTAGTGGGATTTGAATCAGCTCCAGAGAGGGCCCTAGCCACTGCTAAGCTGCCTCATGGGCCACTGCTAAGCTGCCTCATGGGCCACTGCTGTGCCTACAGCCATTGGGCACTGGCCAGCCTTCTGATGGGGACACTTACTTCTGGGAGGTCCCACTCCTTCTGAACCATAGCTGCAAGGCAGGACCCCCTCAAATGTCTAACTGGCCACGGACACCAGTGGGACCCTCTCAGAGTCCCTAGCCTGAAGGCAACAGGACAGGCAGCCATAGCTAAGACCCTCCCACTGACCCCCAGCCCTGACTCAGCCTTCCTGAGCCTCTGCTCATGACTTCACGAGGTCATGGTCAGGAGGATGCACCAGGCTGAGGTGACCTTCAGCACCACCAGGGACTGAGTGACACTAACTTCTCCTAGCCCCTTTGCAAACCCCAGGGTGCTGCCTGAGAGAGCCCTCTTTCTCTGAAAAGCAGAGCTAAGGTGCCCCCAGGAGTTCCTGTGAAGGAAGAGTGCACAGTTACAGACAGACAGACAGGGAGAGGTTTGGCGTCCATCCCACTACCCTTTCCAGAAGCCCACAGATTGAATGTCTAGGATAAAAGCTCCAGGAGATGACACCCCTGCCTGGTCCTTTGAGAACACCAAGGACTGTGGGAAGGGCATCTGGGTCTGGGGGCGGCAGGCAGGGCCGTGCCTGCTTAGCACAGGCTCTCCTTTGTGTTTGCAGATGCCAGCGCCCACTGGATGCCCTGCTCCCAGTCCAGGCCCCCAGATCTGGGGGAGGATGGGGGAACCACTGTCTACCCGCCTGTGCCAGGGGCCTACAGGCGCATTTGTGACCCAACCCACAACTTCACGCCATCTTCTGAGGACCATCCAGGCATGTCATGTCTCATCCCTGCTCCCTGGCCTGCAAAGACTGTGCAGTGGTGCAGCCCCGACAACATCCCTCTATGGGCCCTGCAGTCCACACCAAAACGGCCAAGAATCCAAGTCCATGGCCCCTCAACTCCGAGCACCTTCCACACCCCATGGCCCCACACACTGAGATGAGGTGGCCTTGTAGGCCTGGTCAACCTCTCACTGAGGCCTAAACTGGACTGAGAATGGTCAGTGCCCGGTGCCCAGCATGAGGCCACTGCCCACACCTCCCAGGAAGCATTTGGTTTGGTGTTCTCATCTTGCCTGACCCCCACTCCTCTCCCCAACCACTGCCCTCAGGTAGCACCTGCCCGCCAAAGCCACATGCTCACTTTCTCTGTGGTGATATTGGTCTCTGCATCATGGCGCTTCTGGGTGAAGATGATATTGAAGACGGCGTGGGAGCGGCTGCTGGTCTCATTCATGTTGGTGGCCGCCACAGTCCTAAGGAACAGGAAGCCACACTGGGTTACTCCTTGTCCCATGAGTGGGCATGAGATCACTGGTGGTGCCACCTCACTGGACCAGGTCATCGAGCCTCAGCACCCCTAAACTCTCAGGGCTGCCCTACCTGGCCTGGTGCTGACAGTGCCTTGAGTCATGGCTCAGGTAAGAACCATGACCACCTGCCCCCCATGGTGTCCTCAACTCCAGCTTGTGCCTAGCACATAGGGGCCTGCAGTGACTGAGGGACTTGTCCCGCTCCTGGGGACTCAGTGAAGCCCAGGCATCAGTCAGCTAAAGAGGAGTCCTCCAAAGCCCTGATGTGGAAAAGGCCCACACAGAAGGGATGTCTATGTCAATACCACCACAGCCCACACCAGCTGCCTTGGGGACCCCAAGGAGCCTGCCACATCCCACAGGAGGTGGCATGCATGGGTCAGCAGCAGGATCCTACAGGAGAGGAAGCCCAAGGCTGCCTGAGAGCAGCCTGAAATTGGTTCCCATGCCGCACGACCTGCCAGGGATCTCAGAGAAGGCAACTAAGACTCAGGTTACCCTCTGTGTCAACCCGCGGCCCACTTCTGGCACAGACAGGTCACTCGAGGGTGCGCTGAGGGACCTTGCCAGGAATGGCACCCCTGGGGGTGCCACAAGAGAAGTGTGGGATGTCACAGGGGTGCCACCCCTCACCTCAGGAGCTGAGACTGATGCAGGCAATTAGCTCACCCTCTGGGGAGTCCCAGGTGGCAGAGAAGGGACTGTTCTCATAATGACAAAGGTGTCCCAGCCAAGAGGCCCAGGGTAGTGGTGGCCGAGGGAGGTGGATTGCTTATGGGTAGCAATTTTGTGCGACTGACTTTCCCCATGTGTCCCCTCGCCCCAGCACACTGGCCCCACAACAGTCTCTGGACCCCAGGGCCAGCAGAGCTGCTGGTCTTAGGGTCCAAGCCTGGTTCTACTGAGGCAGCTGCCACATATGCTGCTGGCATGCTCAGGGCACCTTGGCTAGAAGGCATGCAGCTCCCCTGTGGAGTAGCCTGCATGAAGGTAACAGTGCCCCCTGTATGGGGCCTCTCATGGGCTAGCGCATGCATAAATGGTCTTAAGCATACAAGGCCACACCTCCACGGGGCTGACAGACAGAACCATGGGAGGCCAACAGGCACCCAAGAGAAGGCTGAGGACACATGTCAGGACCACCTCTGAGGAAGGGGGGGCTTCCTCAGAGAAGAGATGGCAACGGGGCAGGGCAGAGAGAATCAGTGAGTTCCACACATACCTAGCTTTGTTCCCTGAGTCCATGAGGTCCTGGATGTCATTGTAAGAGGTAACAGCCAGTTTGGAGAGATCCTCCACATAGGGCCCCAGCAGCGGGTGCTCCCTCACTCGCAGGTTGCCCTTGTTCTTGGGGTTCAGGAGGTCACGAACGCGCTCACAGTATATCTCCATATAGCTGACCTGCAGGGCAGAGAGCCATGCCATCAGGACTCTTGAGGTTGATGGAAACTGCCATTAGGACCTCAAAGGTAGGGAGCTAGGGGGACTGCTATCAGGAAGCCCTGAGGTGGGGGTGAGAGGACTGTCATCAGGACCCCTGAGGTGGGGACTGGGGGCTGACATCAGGATCTCTGAGGTGGGGGTGGAGGAACTGTCATCAGGACCCCTGAGGTGTGGGGTGAGGGCCGCCATCAGGACCCCTGAGGTGGGGGTAGATGAACTGTCATCAGGATCCCTGGGGTAGGGAATGGGAGCTGCCATCAGGACCCCTGAGGTGGGAGGGCAGGGGAGCTTCCATCTGGGCAGAAGGTACACTCAGAAGGTTCCCAGTCATTGGCCCCTGCGTGCCAGTGTGAAGTAGAGGTACCAGCCCAACCTTCCCTCACCATGGTTGCCCTAGGCTCTAGGACACATGTCAGGACCACCTCACCTATGGCAAGGCCCAGGCCCTGAGCTCTGAGGCCCCTGGCCCTGGCCCCAGCACAGAATAGCAGTTCAATAAATACCTGCTGAGTAGGGGACTGCCCCTCACTCCTCTGTGCTCTGTAAGTCTCAAGTCCTGCATGGCATGTTGGCATGGTGGTCATGTGGATGAATGAGGGAAAAGCCAAGGGCACAGACCAGTGGCAGGGATTCCATTTAAATCAGAAAAGTATTACCACTGTGCCTAGAATTCCCCATCTCTGCCCCAGGAACAAAGGCAGGCTGGTGTCCTACCTCCACAGAATAGGACATGTTGTCATTGGTTGTGTCGTTGATTCGAGAGAAGAGGTCCTCGCAGAGCTACAGGGACCAAGGGAGATAGTCAGCTGATGAGGGCTGAGGGCTGCTCCCTGGAGCCCACCCCTCGTGGTGCCTTGGGCAGCCTGCACTCAGGCAGGATGCCACTCTCTCGGGCCCTTTTTGAACCCTGAGAACACACATGCCATCATAAAGACATTGAAAAGTACTGCAGCCAAGGAGCTGGCATCTCTCTCTTAACTCAAGGGTCCCCTGGCTGGGATCTTGTCCTATGGATCACTGGCTCCTCACTCTGTCCTCATCTGCACAAGGCCTGGCTTAGCTATCCACAAACACCCCAGCCAACTTCCTTCCCTCAGTAGGCGAAGTACTGATGAGCTCAGACCCAGAGACCTGCCCCAGGGAATGGGCCATACAGGGGGCATCAGCATTCCCAAAGAACAGCTGCCCCAGCCAGGGCTCTCCCAGCCACCCTGTCTCAGGAATGTGACATGGTGGGCGCATCCAAGACCCAGGCCACTCCTGCAGCCCATCCCAGGGATTGGGTCTGCAGCCTCACAGGCCACATTTGGCTCCCTCCTGTTACAACTTCATCCTCTCCCACTCAGCCTTCCCCTCCTGGTTCCCAGCTCTCCAGAGCTGCTCGAGAGCACCTGGCCTAGGTCTCTAGGCCTCAACTGGTCTTGATCCCAGGCCTGCCTTGCCCCACCTGCCCCCCACCCCGTCTTTCATGCCTGTGGGATGATGCCCTGCTGGTCCTTCTCTTGTTTGCCCATCATGGTATAGGACTTGCCAGCCCCCGTCTGCCCATAGGCGAAGATGCACACGTTGTAGCCCTCAAAGGCATGCTGCAGCATCTCTTCACCGATGTCTCGGTACACCTGCTTCTGTGAGGCGTAGTTGATATCCTCAGGCTGAGGGACAAGGAGAGGGTGCAGTTTCAGGAGGCTGGGTGCTCTTGAGGTTCAGCCCACTGTGTCCACGGAGCCAGTCAGTGCCCAGGGCCACAAGCTGTCAGGGCAGTGCAGTAGGGAGGAACACCTGCCCCCCATGCTAATCTTACTTGGGAGGGGGGGCAGCTTCCTGAAGGAGGGGGGTCTCTGCATCACAGATGAGGAATGAAGAGCAGTTGGCTGAGCAGGCAGGTGGAAGGGCATTCCAGCAGTGGAATAGCATGTGCAAAGGTTCAGGGGTGAAACCTCAAAACTAAAGTCAGTTCCATGTGACAATGGCAGGGGAGATGAGAGCTGGGGCTGGAGAAGGGCAGGGTCCCAAGGCCCAGGAACCCTGTGGGCCTGGCTATAACATCTGGACACAACATGACTTCAAGGTAGTGGGGTACTTTAGGCAGTATGACAGCATGGTTGGCCAGGGGTCACTCTGGAAGGAGGACAAATTGGACGTGGAAGACAGAAGTGGGACTGGCTATTCTGGGGCCACATACTCAAAGATGTATAGGCGAGGAGCTCAGGCAGGGGACTGAATGCCTTCTAGAAGGCTACAGGAGGTGGTGGGCAGTGAGCAGGGCCCAGGGTGGACTGGATGTGCTGGATGTAAGAGGAGGGAAGTGGATGTGAGAGGAGAGAAGAAGAAGAGCCCACGGGTCTCCCAGCATGCAGGGCAGTGGTGTTAGGTGGGCCTGGAGTCAGCTTTGGACATTCTGAGTTTGGGACATCTGGGAAAGAGGAGACACCAGCGGAAGACAGACACACAGCTCCAGCAGTGGGAAACTGCCCACAGTGGGATGAAGGCCCCTTAGTCCTTGCAGCCCCGACCACAACCTCCACTGGGGACAGTTTGTATCCCAGCTCAGGGTGACCTCCCAGGGAGCAGGGTGGGGTCCTCACCCCATTTAGAGGGGAACATACAACTCAGAGAGGCCAAGGGACCCCCAAGGACCACACAGCCTCCACTCAGCTGCGCCCACCTCTCCCGACCCACAGCTCCGGCTCACCGAGGTATGTGACCAGTAGGAGTAGTCAAAGCTGAAGCTTTTGGGCGTCTCCTTGGGCTGTTTGGGGTTAATGATGGCTGCAGAAGGGAACACAGTGATGAGCATCGTGCTAGGGACCTTGATCCCTCTTCTAGCTGGAGTCTACACACCATAGTGGGGAGGCCTCAGAGGCCTCTGACCCCTGACAAGACAGGCCCTAAAATTGGAGGGTACCAGGGCACCACTACCAGGCAAATGAACTGTCTCTGCCCCTCTTTGTAGTGAACCTGCTGCCCACAAATGCCCAAGGACATTGCCATGCCAGCCTGCAGGGCTCTGTGTTGCCTTCCCAAATCTACCAGGCTCTCACCCATGAGCCACAGCCCCCCATCGCTGGGATCCACCCTCAACTCACCACTCCAATCCCCACCCAGGACTTTATGCTTCAACTGCACGCACATGTCCTAGAAGTACCTGGAGGCTGGGACATCCTGTCACATCCATGCCATGCCCATGTGATTGGAGTTCCAGCAGCGTGCTCACTGGCCCTGCAGCATGGGTGTCCCATTGCAGAGATCACCATAGTTCATCCAGAAGGAACAGTCTTTCTAGGTTTGCTATTATGAACAGGACTGTCCTCTGCTTGAGTCCTGCCTCCCTCATCCACCCTGGGGGACTATAGGCAGTGCTCACAGAATGTTGGTTCATCAAATCAGGAACTTCATGAGCATGTGATGATGCTGTCACTCACAATCAGTGCCTGCACTATGTCCCAGAAGCTCCCAGGAGGCCTGTAAGTGTCCTAGGAACCCAACATTCCCATCACCACCTTCTGTCTCAGCTCCCAGCATTTCCCAGGCTTTGGACAGGTCTGAACCCAGCAGGCAGCATGTTCTCAGTGACTGGACACAAAGGACACCATTGCCTCCTGAAACACTGTTTGGACCCAAAATCTGTGACTGCAAGGCACCACCACATCAGAGGCAGACCCTTTCTTGGGTTTTCACATCCAGGAAGAACATGAGCCCATCCTGGTTGAGAATGGCTCCAGTGTCAATGGGGAAACCACCTTCATCATGTCATCAAATCTGAAGAGCAAAGCCCTCACACCATTGCCCCATGAGTGGAGATGAAGGCTGGTCTGTCTGCCCCAGGACTGGTTGCTCTCAGCTAAAGTGGGCTGGAGGCCTCAGCTTCCAGAGCACAGCCCAGTCTCTAGGACGTCTGCATCCTCCCGCGTCCCCACCAGCACATCCCTGGGTGACCTGCTGCCAGCACCACAAAGAACAAGACACACCCCTGAGTTATGAGGTGACTTGTGTCCCGCTAGAATTCATATTCTGAAGTCCTAACCCTCAGTGTCTCAGACTGGGACCTTATTTGGAGAAAGTATCATTGCAGATATAATCGGTTATATTAATATTATTTATTGTATTAATTAATCTGATTAAGAAAGGTCTTACTCCATTAGGGTGACCCTAATCCAGTATGACTGGTGTCCTTATGAAGTGGGAAATTTAGAGACAGACAAGCACACAGGGAGAAGCCATGAGAACGTGAAAACAGAGAATGGAGTGATTGCAGTGATACTTCCACAAGACAAGGAGCACCAAGGACCACCAGAAGTTGAGGAGAGCCCTGAGCAGCTGCTCCTAGCTTGAGCCTCAGAAGGAACCCACCTGCAGCCACCTTAAGGGTAGCCGCCTAGCCTCCAAAACACTGAGAAAACACACTTCTGTTGTTTGTGGCTTTTTGTCACGGCAGCCCGGGGAACCTAACACACCCCATCCTCCAATCTGCTGCTCCAGGCTCAGTGGCTTGGCCAGCAGGCACCTGAAACTTTTTGTCTGGCTAGGTTTCCTGCTGATCCCAAAGCCCAGTCCCCAGGCTTTAGATCCCACCTGGACCCTAGATCTCAGTTTGAGGAATTCTTGAAAATGCCCAGGCATCCCTGGGAAGCCAGTAGCAGGGAGCAGGTGACTGACCATTACAGCGCTGTCCTTGGAGAAAAGAGGGAGTCACGTCCATGCAGTACCCAGGAGCAGAAGCAGAGGGAGAGCAAGTTGCCCGGGTTTCAGCTCCTGCTGCGACATGGTGACATCGCTCACAGTGCAGTCGCCGGAACCCTGAGCCAGACAATGCTGGCACCGTGGAAACAACAATCGTAGCCCCCTTCTCAGTGCAGCCAAGTCGGTGCCCTAGATAGTTACGACAGAAAGAGCCGAAACGCCCTGCCAGCCACCAGTACTCGCCTCTATCCAGTTCGTCTCCTCACCCCCCTGCACTGGGGCCAGAATCCCTGGACAGATCCCGTCCCTCATCTGGCTCCTGGACAGGCCCAGCCCCTCTTCCTTGCCTAGCTCCCACTCTTTGCCCAGCACCTGCCCAACACTCAGATGGTAACTGTGCTGATGGAGCCCTGGTGTCCTACCCCACACAGACCATAAGCTCCCTTGGCAGGGGCTTGGGAAGGGTGAAGGGGGCTCCCGGGGTGAAAGTACAGGTGGTGCCCATGGGACACTGGGGAGGCAGGGAACAGCAAACAGTGAAGGTGATTGAGTGGGGAGAGGGTCACAGTCACAGCTGTAAAATGGTCGAAAAGGATCCCCTAGACCTGCTTGTCCCTGACCCTCCACACCCTCTCCAGTATTGTGGCTGGGAAACATCCTCTTGTCACTACAAATGGGTCCCAAGTGCCAGAAAGAGGATGTACTCTCACCAGGTCACATGGCACACAGCTGAACTAGAAGCCAGGGACTCCCAGTCCTGGCATTCCACCAACAACCTGGAGCCCTGGGAGGGGAGGTCTTCCAAAGCCCCTCCCTCCACAGTCCCTCACTCCACAGCCTGGAAAGAGGGCTTCCCTTGCCAGTATCTTGAGGTTTTGCCTTGTGCAGGTTTGAATGATGAGGAGGGAGAAATCAGGCCTTCTGGGGCCAGGCCCCTCCACTAGCTCATTAAAGTGTCCCTCGTCCTTCCAGCCCCTTGTTCCTGCCAGCCCTCAGTAGCTGGGCCTTTCCAAGGTGAGGGGCACACCACCAGCAAGTCATCCCAGGGCTCTGCGTGGGCCTGCAAAGGTTAGCAGCACAGAGAGAACAAAGACAGAGGAGGTAGGGGTAGGGGTTTGAATAGAAAGGAGGAAAAGGAACCTAACGAAGCCATTTTCTACACCCTTGAGCACCAAGAATGAGGGTCATGTTGAGCTGGTTCTCACCAACAGAGCCTGCTATAGACTGAATGTGTCCCCTAGATTCATATATGATGCCTGAGCCTCAGTGGGATGGCATTTGAAAGGGGGCCCTGTGAGATGATTATCATGCAATGAGGCCATGAAGATGGGGACCTCATGATAGCATGAGTGGCTTTATAAGAAGATAGAGAGAGGGACCAGAGCTCCTGTTCTCTGCCACACAAGGACACAGTGAGAAGGCAGCAACTTTAGTGAGGGCAAACAAGGCCTGGGATTGCCCCCTTCCTGGGTCCAGGTCCCCACCTGTGGAGCAAGGGCAGGGACAAGAGGTCACCCCAGCCCTAAACCTCCACGTAGCCAAAAACGCTCAGAAATGACTTAGGATCAAGGTTCTCAGGGAGTACTCAGCACACTCTTCACTACTGCACAGGTGAGAAACTAAGACCCAAAGGGTCATACAGCAAGTGAGTTAGGAGCTTAGCCAGGACCCTCACTCCAGCTCATTGTCCTGTGCTTGCCTGAACTCATTTCAGGGGCCCCACAATGGATGGGTCTCTGATGTGATCAAAGGGTCCTTGTCCCTAACCAGTCCCCAGGGCTTGCAAACCACTGGGCAGGCTGGGAGCCTCATCCCCCAATCCTGAGGGCAGAGAATGTGACTCAAGGAGAGAGGAAAATCTTCTAAAAGAGGAAGACTTTGCACCAGTTCTACCAGACAGGGACAGAAACACACCTAAAGGACAATTTGATTGGCTCATGAAACTGCTAGATTTGGTGTGTTCAAATGAAGAGGATCACTTATCCAGGCGATGCAGAGGATGACATTTAGGTTTACTTTCAAATGCTTCTAACTTCTACATCACGGTGCAGCTAAAAGGTACACTTTAGAGAACGGGGCTTCTCCTCGTGTTTTGAGATTCCAAGAACATGGCAGCAGCCAGGCAGGGCAGGCAATGCAAGTCAGCCAGGTCACCTCCCACCCTGACATCCTCTGCAGGGTCTGGTACAGGAGCCCCTGAGCAAGGACACCCAAGCAGAGCAGCCACTCCCAGATCTGCCTATTTGAACTCCAGCTGAGATATCACTGGAGAAAGTGGCTCCTTGCTAGATGCTTCTCAAGTCAGCCTCAGAGAGCTTCCACACCCACCTCACACTCCATTAATAATTATCCTAGGGCCACCCATCCCTCTGTCCTTTCAGGATCCAGGAATAAAGTCTATTCCCATTCTTCCAGGAAGACCTCCTGGTGGCAGGAAGGTACCCTCCTCTCCTCTGAGTTCCCTCAGCCCTTCACACAGACTTCTGATATGGCTTCGAGCACTTTCTTCCAGAACCACCACTGATTTGCTTTCTCCAGATGAATACAGTTTTCACAGGACTTTTTCCTGGTTATTCTTTCTTCTGATACTCATCCCCTCTTTCCCTCTCTCTCCCACGCACACACACATCCTGTGTGCATAGGACCTGCAGGGAGGGAATACCCACTCGTTACCTACACACACTCTTACTCCTGGGCTCTGGGCCAGTCTTTGTCCCCTTTCCCCCAACACCATAGTCTTCCCAAGATCATAAATTCAAAGCTTTGACAGCCACAATTTTTGGTCAAGATATTCTTGACACTCATGTTCCAGCTGGTGGACATCCAGGGTTGCCTCTGGTCTGATAAAACAATGCCAAAGAGAATGTTCTTGAATGCACACCTTTGACTGGCTTGATCATCTATGTCATGTGTCCTATAAGGAGCCAGGCAGGGTCAGCACCACACTTCTGATACCAATCAGCAGGTTACCTTCAGCAAGCGGCCTGGGTGGCCGTCTCCCGCCACCCTCACAGACTCTGTGTTTGCCAACCACCCTTTTGTGCCCTGGTCAACCTGGGGCCCTGATTATCTTTGGCTTCCAGTAGGTGGGACCCTGGTCTCATTCATTGCCTTAGCTCTTGTGGCTCTCCAGTTTCTTCGAGGATGAAACCCAAGATGTTTAAACATTCCTGGTGTCCTGGAGGAAACTCCCTACTTGCTCTCTATTAGACTTCTGAGTCCCCGCCCCTTCCTCCTTTGTTGTAGAACTTTGCAGCAACAACCATACACTTGGATTGGTTTGGTTCCTTGCATACTCTCACCTTTGAGGAACAGCAGTTCCTTCAGGACCTGCCAACTGCTCAAAAACAGTATAGGAGGCTCCTGGGCTCTCCTCCGACCTCCTGAATCTGCCTGGGCTTCTGTTTAAATGAGGAGTAGAGGCTGCCAGGACACAGGCAAACCCCAATACTCCCCTGCCTTCAGGTATCTAGATTCGTCTGAAATCTCGGGGGACCGGAGGAAAAATGATTGCTCACAAATGTGGCTCAGGCCTCTGGCTCATAAGCCCCAGTCTTTATTTAGACTTTGTTCTCATGACCTGAGGAAAGAGTGGGGTGAGGCAGGGCAAAGGCAATTGCAGCCTGAGGTCTCGGGCTCAGGCCACAATGGTGTCTGAATCGGAAAGTGCAACATGTCCCTGGGCAGTTCTGTGGGATCTTCAGACAGTTCAGCTTTAGCTAGATGATTCTTCACCCAGTGGGTCAGTGCTTCTGGTTTCTAGGTATTGGCAAGGCTGACTTACCTCCTGGTCTCACTTGTCTGCTTCTGAAGCCCATGGGAGAAAAGGCAAAATGGGAAGGTCATCCAGTACCTCTGGAAATCAGGCCAGGGGTGATTCAGAAGCTGCACCTACCCCACTCACCTGCCCTAGCCTCGTCCTTCAGGGTCTGTCCTGAAGCTGGGTTATTCCCAAGGTCTTGGGGGGATCAGGGTTCCACCTCTGATGCTTTGCTCTTTCTACTCATTCTGCTCCTGGTGGGGCTTGGCTGTTCAGTGGGGTTTGAGTCTTGTCACCGTGCCAAGCCTAGAGCTACCTGTAGCCCCACATGCCATGACTGAGGTGGCAATTGTGCCACTTGGGCCTGGCCTGGGGGTAAATGGCTATTCCTACAGACATTCTCGATGTCTTGGGTCACCTTAGAATGATATGGCAGACCCTGCTGGGGCCTGGCACACATGCCTTCTGCCCACTCAGGGTCACAGTACCCATCAGAGCTCACAATTCACACCAGAAGCCATGGTTTCCACCTGGGGCCAAAGTTCACACTCAAGACCACAATTCACACTGGAAGTCACAGTTCACACCTGGGATCACATTTCCCAACCAAGGGTCACAGTTCCTGCACACCTGGGATCACATTTCCCAACCAAGGGTCACAGTTCCTGCACAGCCCAAGACTTCTCACTTCAAGGCAAGGGTCACGACACCTGAGAGCTTCCTCTTGCCACAGAGGGCCAGGTCAGAAGTCAGCTCACATGGCGGGAGTTATTAGACAAGCAATCATCTTCCTGGGCAGGACAACTTGGAGGTGTGTTGTGTTTCTCAGAGGGTCCCAGCAAAGCTGTACCTCTCTGCCATGGCAGTCACCCACTAATTAATGTTCTTTTGCCAACTTCCTCCCACAACCTCCTCCCACAGCAGTGTGTCCTGGGACCACCTCCCAGATAATCTCCTGGTACCCAAATCCTTGTCTCAGAATCTGCATCCAGGAACCAAATGAAAGTAAAACCATCTACCATTCAGAATAGTCAGGATGAAACCTCAGTGCACACTGACAACTGCTCTACAGCCTGCAGGAACCCCAGCCTGGATTTAAGCAAGGCCTCTCCAACTGCCCATGGCATGAAAAAAAGTCATGATGCTACACAGGCTTTTGGGAAGATCACACCAACCCCGGACCTCATTTCCACAACACCTGACAGTGCTCAGAGCACCCCCAATGATGCCCATGGTTGCTTCACATCTCCTTGTCAGCAGCTGGAGATGACTCACAACAAGAAACAAAGAGACAGACAAAAGGTTTTTAAAAAAAGGTAAAAACCTAGGGCAGTTGAAATAAAGTGAAAAATCAGTGATTGTGTATACTAGGTTGAATAGTGCCCCCCCAAAATTAATGTCCACTAGGAATCTCAGAATGTGACCATATTGGGAAAGAGGGTCTTTAAAGATGTAGTTAGTTGTCACAATGAAGTCATACTAAATTAGGGTAAGCCCTAAATCTAATGACTGGTATTCTTATAAGAGGGACACATGAAAACACAGACACACACATGGGGAGGAGGCCGCGTAATGACAGAGGCAGAGACTAGAGTGATTTGGCCAAGCCAAGGGGGCTGGCAAACATCAGACACTGCAAGAGGCAGGAAGACTCTTGGGGAGACTTCTGGACTCCAGAACTGAGAATAAATTTCTGTTTTATTCTCATACAACACACTATATAGACAAGGTAGGGGGCGCAGCGTTGCTCTTGTGGCCATGGCCAGGTTGGCTGCCAAGTCTACTAGTTGGCTCAGAACCGTGGCCCCGAGCGACCAGCAGCTGACAGCCACCCCGTCTAGGCCAATACTCACTGGTGGTGCTTCCAGACATCTGAATTATGCACTTGGAGTCGCGGCTCATTTCCCGGGAATTGAAGGGACGGACACGCACCGCCACCTTCACCGAAGCCCCGGCCATCTCTGCGGCCTCTGTTGGTCACTCCTAGAAACGGTGGGAGCTCCAACGAGAGCGGGAGAGCGGGAGACACCTTGGAGAAAAGGGAAACACGAATTAAAAATGATACCTAAAAAGGCAGAACAAGCACTCTGGTTGCTGGTTGAACTCACAGGTCTTCTCCATTCATTAAACCCCATGAAATGACATGTGCACTGGGTAGCAATCCATAAGGATGGGGAACTGGACAAGAGGCAGTTACAGATGAGAAATAGCACAAATTCTAGAAAGCAGAAAGTCGATGGGACCAGGCTTAGCAAGCCTGGAAGGACAGAATCTAACACAAGGAGCAAGAACCAACCAACCTCAGTGTCAATGTGAAGGTGACCTTCAAAGCTACCACAAACTCCTCAAGATGGGCTTTCCCTGTGGATGCAGGCCCGGGGTGGGCTCCATGCCAGATCTGGGCCAGGTCCCAAGCGTAAGCGCTGGCTCAAGATCAAAACATCAAGGATGTTTTAAAAAGGAATAGTGTTCTAGGGTGCCCAATAATATCCTCCATCCTGGGTGGCCATTGGTAGCTACATCTAGCAGTAGCATGGTTTCTGGATTAGCAGGAAAGGGAGCTTTACTCAGAAATCAAAAGAATGGGGCAACAGGACAAAAGTCTACATTCTCAGCACAATTTCCCACTGCTCATCAGTCACACCAAAGGATGCACAGAACAAATACTCACATGGAGGGAAAGGAACCTGTGCCTCACTGGAAACTTGATACAAGCTGACCATGGTCCTGCCTTTATCCCAGCTGTGTGACTTAGCCTCCTGGGCTTCAGTTTACAGATGTGTGAAATGACAAGATCGAAGTCAATAACACCAAAATGATTTTGTCTCTCAGGTCCTGGGACTCTGAGGAAAACTGATGAAAACTCCCCACAAACAATGATGAGATGCCACTCTGAAAGGTTTTTCCAGGACTGACAGGCCAGACGCTGTAGCTGCTTTACCCAAAGGGGACATGGAGTCTGAAGAATGGAGATCCTAAGAGAGGCCAGGCTGAGGCAGAAAATTGTTGGTTATAGGAATTGCTAGAGTCCCAGGAACCATAATTCATTCAGACTAACATAAAGAAAGATTCCCAAGGCTTTCACCTATTGTTGTCTAAGGCAGACTTGGGTGCTCACTAAGTGGTGAGAACCCATCGCTAGAGGCATCCAAGGCTGGGTGGTCTCTCTGAAACCCTCCCACACTGAGAATCCATGAAATCCCCTCTTCTGAAAAGACAACCTCCTGCCTCATCCTCCTTGCCCACACTGCCAGTCTCCAGAGAATCTGGCCCAAAGGCCCTGTCCTGTAGTGTCCCCAGCCTTGTATGTGTGAAGACAGGACCGAGGACCAGAACACCTCCGGGCTGCCTTCTGAAGATATCAGGAAGAAGGGCAGGTGAGCCCTGTGTGTAGATGGAGAAGGGAGCACAAGGAGCCTGAAACCAGTGCAAACTCTGGCTATGAACTCGCAGATTCTGCCCAGGCAAGTTCCCTGGCTCTCTAGAACTCCTCCACAGAACAGACTAGATATAGCAGCAGGACTGTCCCTCAAGAAAATGGCTCTTCCAGAGACTATAGGGGAGGGGAAAGTACCAGACCATCCTACGACTAAGAGTGGACAAGTTCTCGGTGTGGTTAGACTCGTGCCTGGCTATACTATAGCTCCTTACAGCCACAAGACATAGTTGAAGCTATATACTACTCCAGAGTGTTTCCACTATTGTTTTATCTTCCTATACCCACGAGTGACCACCCAGGTGTGGACAAAGGGATCACCTTTCCAAGAATCCGTGTTTTCTTATGTTGAAAAATCTCTGCACTTTTGAAACTGGAAAAAGTATTAGGACATTCTGATTGGAGTGGAAAGAATAAGTGGCATGCCCATAAATCCCTGGTGCAAATGCAGATCAGAACAAGGTTTCCAGCAAGTGCTGAGTAGCACGCTTCGTACCTTTGAAACAATGTGTATCATTTGACAAAGTGTCAAGATCTAAAATAGGAGATATGTAGAAGTGAAAAAAATATGCATGCAGATGTTTAATCTGACACTGCAAAATTTTCAGTTCTCTCCAAATTTAGCTATATAAACTCAGTGCGATTCCAATAAGCAAAATATTCCAACAGGATTTTCAATGGTATTTGGCAGGACCAGAGAATTTTGGAGAATAAGAAGAAGGAAAACATCCTCTACCAGCTCTCATATATCCTATAGAGTTATAATAATTTCCAAAGTCTAGAGATGACACGTGAACAGACTTAGCAAATCCTCAAGCAGATAGATGTACACGCACATGCACGTGCGCATGCACACACACACACAATGATGGAAAAGGCAGCACTTCAGGTAATGGGGTAAGATCAGTATTGGGACAATCCTCTATCCCATACTGAAAAACAGAGTTGGAAAGTGGCCTTTCAAAGCATTACAAGCACACACAGCAGTCTCTGTCTTGGCGTCAGGGTAGAAAATATGAATAATACAAAGCAGGAAAGGCAAAGGATACTTTGTGGGTGGAGTGGTCAGCAGCTGACCGGTGCTCCCTCCATGCACAGCTAAAGAGGTCAGAAAAGACTGTGGAGTCTGTTGGAAGGCACCAGAGAGCTGTGAAGCCATGTGGAGCAGCAGGCCAGCATTCCATAGGAGGGGCTGCCAAGACAGAAGACGGCATTCTGCAGTGCTGTCTCCAGGGCACATTTGCATTCTGCACACGGGGCAAGGGACAGGCAAGAGGCTGGGAATCTGGAGTCTTCCCAGACAGAGAGCCGTTGCTGAGGGACAGAAAAAACTGCAGAGTTTTGGTCACGAGAAACAGACTTGAGAGGCCAAGATCCCAAGAGAAGGGAGAGGTGAAGAACTAAGATGAATAAACTCTAGTCTTTCCCTTAAGACATTTGCCAAATTCTGAAGGCATGAGGAGTGGAATTTTAAAAACCCAAGCAGAAAGCCTCTGAAAACCAAAGAGGAGTTTTCTTCCACAGTCTCAGGTGCTAAGAAACAAAGATTCTAGTTCAAAATCCTTCAGAAGGAGGAACCCCAGTGATCACTAGGGTTTGACTGAAAGCCCAGAAAGGAACAAAACCTAAAGGCAGGGAAGAGTCATAGGCAGGATGAACCATATCAAACTGACCCCTGACCTAACTCAGTTTAGTCCCTGGCTGAATTAAGGATCAGGCTTCATTCTAGCAGCCTGGAAGAGAAAAGATGAACCATCTCTGATGGTGTACAACATCCTCTGGAACCTCTACAGTGTTTTAATAGGCAATGTTTGCCATTAAGTCAAAACTTACAAGATTCAGAAAGAGAAAGGACTCTATAATTAAAAACAAATAGGGGCCGGGCTCAGTGGCTCAGTCTACAATCCCAACACTTTGGGAGGCCAAGATGAGTGAATTGCCTGAGCCTGCGGGTTCGAGACCCACCTGGGCAACTTGGCGAGACCTCATCTCTACAATAAAATCAAAAATTAGCTGGGCATGGTAGCACATGCCTGTAGTTCCAGCTCCTTGGAAGGCTGAGGCAGAAGGATCGCCGGAGCCCAGCAGGTCGAGGCTGCGGTGGCCGAGAGCATGCCACTGCACTCCAGTCTGGGTGACAGAGTGAGACTCTGACTCAAAAAAAAAAGAGGAAATATAAAAGATCCATGAGGGGAAAAAAGCAATCTACACATGATCCAGACCTAGGAGTTATTGAACAAGGACTTGAAAACAACCATGACTAATATCTTCAAAATAAGAAAGAAAAAGACAAAGAAAATAAATGGAGAAATTTTGTCAAAGGATTGGAAACCATAAAAAAGAATCAAATGGAAATTCTAGACCTGAAAAACACAACTGAAATTACGAATTCAAGAGATTAGACACAGCTAAAGATAGTGTTAGTAATCTGAAAGACAGGAAATAGAAATACAAACATTTTTAAACCGAGATAAAAAGAATGGAATATATAGATGTGAGAGTCAGAAAAACATAGGACATAGTGAAATGCTCTAAAATGCATGTAACTGAAAGCTAATGAAACAGAATGGAGGATGTTGTGGTCTAAATATCTGTGTCTTCCCCATCCAAACTCATATGTTGAAATTCTAATTCCCAAAGTGATAGTATTAGGAGGCAGGGGCTTTGGGAGGTAATTAAGTTATTGGGTGGAGCTTCACAAATGGAATCAGTTCCTTTATAAAAGTTACCCTAGAAAGACCTCTCACCCTTTTCACCATGTGAGGACACTGCAAGAATGTGCCCTCCATGAGCCAGAGGCAGGTCCTCACCAAGCCTGCTTTGCTCTTAGACCTCCCAGCCTCCAGAACTGTGAAAAATAAATTTCTGTTTTTTATAAACCACCCAGTTTATGTTTTTTGTCACAGTGCCTGAATGGCCTAAGACAGAGGAGAAGTTATATTTAAAAAAATAATGACCATGAATTGTCTAAAGTTGTTGAAGCATAGCAACCCATGGATTCAAGAAGTTCTGCAAATACAAAGCCAGACAAACCCAAGAAAACCACACACAGATACATTGTAGTAAGACTTCTGAGTTCAAAAGACGAAGAGAAAAAAATTGCAAAATCAGCCAGAAAAAAAGGCACATAACCTTTAAAGGAGCAAAAATAAATCTGACAACTGACTTCTCAACAGAAATTATGGAAACCAAAAGATGAGGCTGTAAGTTGTCAACATTATTACGTAAGTGGTCAAAGTAATCACTTATATTAGATTGTGAAGGATTCGTTGCTATTGCTAGGGTAATCATTTAGAAAGTAGAAAAATAATATTTAACTAGCAAGTTATTACAAAGAAAAATAGGAAAAATTTTTAATATTTTTTATTAATCCAATAGAAGGCATCAAAGGAGAATAAGCAGACTATGAAAAGATAAGTCAAATGAAAAATAAAGACAAGACTGTACATAAAAGCCCACCTCAGTTAGTATGAAATTAATACTTCAAGTTAAACATTAACAAGACCAGATTTTAAAAATTATCTTCTGTTTATAAGAGACATTTTACATACAAAGACACAGACAAGTTGAAAATAAGAAGATGAAAATTTTTT